CCTCCTTGCCTCCACTCTTAAGCGCCTCACCCTCTGGGATCTCCACCTTCTCTCCCTCACCTGGCTGGGGCCTATTTGTGGGTTCCCTTGCTCCCAGGTGGGGTCAAGCCCATTCTGGGATGAGAAGGGCAGTGAACAACATCTGAGGTCTAAGAGCGTTCACTGCTTTGCAGTTTAACTGGTTGAGACCAAATGGCTTTAAGGGTATAGGAAGGTTTTGGGAACCCAGCAGCCAGAGGAAGCGCCTGTCTTCCGGTATGGGGGCATCCACCCTTATTCTCTCACCCTTAATTTGAGCAGAGATACTCCTGTAATTGTTTTGTAAACAAAATAGAAGTTTAGGCATTCAGTTTAATTTTCCGCAAATCAAGTAGTTCCCATAATATTGTTTGTTTTTTGTGTCTTTCTACAGCACTCACTCCTCAGAGATGAACTTAGTGAGACCTTTTTTCCCCACTATGGTGTTGTAATTACTGTGTTGCTTCTAGATCAGGCTAATATGCGAATGATATGAAGACAGGGCCTTATATACACACACTTTCCTAGGTGGCTACTTTCCTATGTTGTTATGCTTCAGTGTGTTCTATTTAAGCTTAAAGATGCATTTTTCTGTAAAGGGAGAGATAAATACTTCTTTTTATGTGATTGCTTAATATTTTGAAGTATTTACTCAGCCATTCCCCTTTTAGACACAATTTTAGAATTAGTCATTCACTTATGCTAGAAATTGGTTACTAAAGTTTCAAAAGAAGGAAACTTCATGCCATGGAATTAGCACTAACATTGCAGTGTTGGTGGTTTTTAGAATTCTAGTTAAAGTTCTTGGGCATGTGTCTATTCTTACTCTGGAAAAAAGTCACTTTTTTTCTTTTTTAAGTAACTGTAAATTATCTTTTTGGAAACACGTTAATTGTCTCTCACTTCTTTTGGAGTTATTATTAGTCCAGTAGCTTTTACAATTCTGGTTAATCTTTTTACAAATCGTATACATACATCTAAAAATATGACACTTATTCAGCTGATTAATATTGTTATGATATTGCTAATTGTGATTGTCTTTAATATTGGCCCTTTGCAGAAAAACCAGAAGCTATCTAGTAATTTTAAAAGGTTAAGGCTGTAGAGTTTGATCAGAAACTTGAAAGAATGTGACATAAATTGAGCAGAATAAATTGTTATAGTCATGGCTGTTAATTTTAAGGATCAAATCCTTAGCTTAAGAGTGGCATAAATTGTGAGACACATTCAAATTTGTCTGGTAGTAACCGTCAGTATTGGTCCATGAAACTGAGAAACCTCCCCTGTCTAGAACAGATGCCAAGTACATAGTAGATGCTCGTTGAGTATTTGTTGAATATATGTTTAAAGAAAAAGACACTTAGGGGCCGGCCCCGTGGCTGAGAGCTTGAGTTCGTGCGCTCTGCTTTGGAGGCCTGGGGTTTGCCGGTTTGGATCCTAGGTGTGGACCTAGCACTGCCCATCAGGCCATGCTGAGGCGGCGTCCCACACCGCACAACTAGAAGGACCTGCAACTAGAATGTACAACTGTGTACTGGGGAGCTTTGGGGAGAAGAAGAAGAAGAAGAAGAAGAAAAAAACCTATTTAAAAAAAAAAGAAAGACTTAGACTGACACAATTCGTCTTGGTTGGTAGTGCTTTTTGGGTAACTCTCTGATCTTGAAATGACCTCTTTTTTTTTAAGTCAATTTTCTGTTTCAGCAAAAAGGATTATAATGTAGGGACATTTCAGCGTGAGGGACAAAGAAGGCTGGATTGGGTTTTAACCCTAGAAGTGTGACTGGGCAAGCCACTTTTCCTCTCTGTTCTCATACATCAGCAGAGTGGGTTTGGCTGCTCCATGAATCTCATTTAAATCTAAAATTATCCAAGTCTTTGGGTTTCTTGGGGACTAAAGTATTTAGAGTACTATGAATGGTGTGCAAAATATTACTTTGACACAGAGTCAAGACTAGGAGATGATGTTCATGATGCCTGTGCTTTTTTTTGGTTGTTGAATTTTGTTTGTTGTCCTCAACAGTCAACGACAACACGAACAGCAGAGTGGTCCTCTGGTCCTTCTTCGAAGCCCTGGTCCTCGTTGCCATGACGTTGGGGCAGATCTACTACCTGAAGAGGTTCTTTGAAGTCCGGAGGGTGGTTTAAAAGCCTCTTCGTGACGCTCTCAAACTCATAATTAACTCACTGTTTACCAGACATCTTGGTCATAATAATGTTATGAGTTTCTACGTTTTTATTTTCTGAACTGTACATTCACAGCTTATGTTTCTTTGTAATTAATAGCTATTGGGAGAAACCCCTTTTTAGGAAAGTTTATAGTGAAGATTTGATGTTTGATTGGCATAATTTCTTACTTGAATTCTGCCTCCAGTATACAGGCCCTTCTGGAACTCAAACACTGTAAATGAAATAGAGGTGTGTAGTCCTTATTGTATCTTCTTTTTCTTTTGTTTTTGAAATAAAAGGCAGTGTGTTCAGGATAGTACTTTACTGAAATGATTGCGCCCTCTGGATCCCTTATTAAGTCATTGAAGATTCATCTTGTTGAGTCCTTATGAGAAACGACAGTCTGAATCTTGATTTTCTCCCCAGCCTGATGGCAGAGCTCTGTGACTTTGGAGTGTGCTACCAGATTGGTACTTTTATACTTCGTTTTTGCTTTGAAGATAAGACTTAACCCAACAACATTTTCCCCTGTAAATTTTTACTTTGAACCTTTGGACTCAATCACCTCCGCTTAAATTGATGACACGAGCAGCTAATAACTGTTTTGGGTTTCTGCCTAACCTTGTAAAAGTTATTAAAGCCAGTTCTCTGGGTGTTTCAGCAAACGGTAGCTCTTTTCCTTTCTGTGCTGGCATGTTGCTTTCTCTGCTCTTGGCACGTAGGAACTATGCATTCATGCAATTGGGAAAATCTGAATTTCTGATGCCAAAGGGTTAAAGCCTCTTGGATTTCATTGCAGTGATAGACAGCCACTATTTTATTTTTGATCAGTGGCATTTTGGCCACTAAGGTTTAATTAGGGTACTGAACAGCACTGTCAGTACTAGGGTTTTTGTTTTTCTTGGGTCTTTGTATTTTGGCACATGTGAATTTTGTTTTGTATAAAACAAAATGACTTTTTCTTGGTCTCTGATGATGGGTTTAAAATTAAAAGAGCATCTGGTTTTGGTGTAGGGATGATCCAGGATTATGTTGTGACTGATGTATATTAGTTACTTGGACATTTTTTTTGGATCTTTGCAAGGGGAAACCTACAAGTAATGAGTTTTATATAATTAATTTAAATTTGTTACAGGTTTTCATGTTCAGGATAAACAATTTTTCAACCTTAGGTGAAAATACTTGCAACAGTTTAAGGTCAGTGTTACCTTAGGACAACTGTTGCATGCCAATTTGTGTGTGTGTGTGAAAACACTTCAAAATTGAATTAACAGATGTAAATTTAAAATTGGTTGTGTATCTAATCTGCCCCAGGTTCAGTAAATAAACAGTTCTTTTTAAAAACAGTCAGTATTCCGTGTTTTATATATTAATGATCAACTCACATATGTTCAGTACCAACTTGCTGTTCATATTTGAAATGTTTGCTGAGTAATTATGCCCATAATCGTGACGACAGTGAATAGGAACCCAATTTTAGGTTTCGCTGTGTGGTTTTTTTGATTGGTCATTGTTAACATCTTAAGTATTTTTTTCATTTGGATAGAAAAATGTTTGAGTTACTTTCACTCGACCACCTGGATTATGGATGTGGGAAGTAAGTTTAAGGCGGATTAAATGATTTGCCCAAGGCTCCCAAATGAAGAGTGATTGATGGAACCAGAAACTAGGTCTCTGCCTTTAGAGACGGTTCCTTGTCCTGCATTCCAGTAGGGGCCTGCTGGCAATAAAAGAAACGGCCATTTACTGAGCCGCGTGTAGGGTCCTAGCGCCGTGCTGCGTGCTTTACGCCGTTTGCTTTATTCCTCAAAACCGCCACTGCTGTTAGAATCCTCATTTTGGAAATAAGGATACAGACTTGCGTTTGCTTTCACAGCTGTCTGTGGAAGTCCCACTTTATGAAACAGTTGTCAAAGGTATTTTGAGGATGGGATGGTGGTATTTCAGTGAAAATGTTGCCTCAGGCTATCATCTTTCCCTTCGTTTGGTCTGAGATGGCTGGAGTCTGCATGAGTCCTAGACCCATTTATTCATCTCCGGAAATACTTGAGTGTGCTACCAGTTGTAGCCACTGGGATAAAGAAAATAAACATCCCCATCGTCCTGGGATTTACCTTTTAGTAGGGGGAGGTGAACCTAATAAATAGATGAATTATATGGCGTATTATTCACGTTGAGTGCTATGGAGAAAAGTAAAGCAGGGTAAGCGGTTTTAGTGATTAGGAAAGGCAGGCGTCGCTGGGATGACGTGTGTGAGGACCTGACGGCTGTAAGGGAGCCAGCCGCGCGCACGGGCTGGAGGCGACGCGTGCTCACGGGGCCAGCACGTGGGAGGTGGTGAGCAGGAGCTTGCTGAGTGAACGCGCGCCGACAGACGAACGGCCCACTAAGAGCGAGCACGGGACGGGACGAGTGTTCCTGTTCCTCCGAACTCAACCAACATTTATTGTGCCCCAGGCAGTGGGTCCCCCATCAGCCCTAGTTCGGATAGGTGTCTGTCGGGCTGGAGCTCCGGAGCTGTCCTTCGGCCAGGACGCGGGGCTGTGCTGCCACCTGCCTCCGACGGGCGGGAAACGTGGGCGCTCCGGGGCAGAATCCCTCCCGCCGAAGCTCCCGCTCGCTGTGGGAAGGTGCCCCGAGCCACCGAGGCTGCGCGGGACGGATGGTACTACTGCCGCCTGGCCCCCGCCGCCCGCTTTCGTTCGCCCGCGGTCGGCTTCCCGGCCTCCAGCCGCGAAGGCGTTTTCCCCGCCCTCCGGAACTTAGCGGCTCGAGCACGGTTCCCGCCCGGCCTTGGCGGCGGCCGGAAGCGGAAGTACTTGCTGGCGGCGCCCCGGCAGCGTCCGGCTGGCGGCGGCGGCGGCGCGCTATGGAGCACGTGACGGAGGGGTCCTGGGAGTCGCTGCCGGTGCCGCTGCACCCGGGGGTGCTGGGTGTGCTGCGGGAGCTGGGTTTCCCGTACATGACGCCGGTGCAGGTACCGGCGCGGCCGGGGAGGAGGGTCTTCCGCGCGCAGGGGCGGATGCCAGGCACCCGCTTAGTGGGACGTGGCCGGCAGGTGTGAGCATCAGGCTCGCATCCTGGGGTTCTCTCCCCGCCAGCCGGGGCGTCTGCCGCCCAGACTCCACTGATGCCGCGCTGGCTACTGATCCGGGCAGGCAGAGGCGGCAGGCGGCGGCGCACCTGTGCCCGGGTCTTCACTCCTCCCCACCCCCGGGCGCTGGGGCCTCAGTGCCTAGTTCATATCCTGGCTCTGCACCTCCGGCAAAAGACTTAACTTCTCTGTGCTTCATTTCCCTTCTCTGTGAAATGACCAGAATATTACCTGCCTCATAGGGTTATTGTGGGAATTTCATAAGACAGTGTTGGACGCATTATGGGAGCTTCATAAATGTTACCTGCGGTTGTTCTTGTTGTTATGTGGGCTAAGTGAAGCGTCCAGCTTATTCAAGAAATGTTTGTTGAGGACGTACTCAACAAACGTATCAGGTACTTTTCTAGGCTCTGGGGGGGTTTTGCAGTGTTGGTCCCCACTCACGGGCCTTATTTTCTAATGCAGGGAAGAGAGAAAGGAGTAATAGAATAAGATAATTTCAGCTCCTAAGTGTTAGGAAGGAGCCAAAACAGACTGATGTGGTAGATAGTGACAAGAAGGGACAGGATAGGAGGTAGGACAGGGTGTTGGGGAAGGCCTCTCTGAGGAGGTGTCATTGAGCTGATACCTGAATGATTGGGAAGGAGCTGGCTGTGGGGTGATGAAGGGGGATTCTGGCAGCGAGAAATGCCAGTGCAAATGTCCTGGGGCTGGACAGTGAGCTTGGAGGAACAGAAAGAAGGCCTTTCTGGCTGGAGCATGGTGAGTAGTGTAAGAGATGAAAGCGGGGTCCAGGTTGTGCAGGGTCATGTAGGAGCTTGGCTTGCATTCTAAATGCAGTGGGAAGACATCTTACATGGGAAGCTGTGCAAGAAGGCAAGGGATGTGACTGATGTGTAGAGAACGGACTTTGGAGCATTAAGAGAAGAAGCGAGGGTGTCAGTTGGGAGGCCGTTGTCCAGTGAGAGAGGTGGTGGCTTGGAGTAGAGAGGAAGCAGTGGACATGGAGACGTCAAGGTTGAGACAGCTTTAGCGTTCCTTGAAAGAGGAATCTAGAGGGACTCTGAGGGTGGTGTCCTTATTGGCTGAGTGGATGGTGGTACCATTTACCCAGATGAGGAAGGCTGGGAGTGGTGACATGTGAATTTCAGAGGGAAATTCAGGAGAGTTCTGTTTTGACATGTTCAGTTGAGATGCCGATGAGATCCTCAGGAAAGCCGTGGAGGCAGCAGGCAGGGCTGGAGATAAAACTTGGGAGGGCCGTGTGCCAGGCCTTGGGAATGTATGCAAACGAGATCCAGTCTGCCATCAGAGGTGGTTCGTCTCCTACTGTGCTGTCCACTACGGTGGTCACTAGACACATGTGGCTATTGAACACTTGAAATATGGGGAGTCCAAATTGAGATGTGCTCTGAGTGTAGAATGCACAGTGGATTTCAAAGGCTTAGTATTGATGAAGAATAGAAAATATCTCATTAGTTTTAAAAATAGTGATTACATGTTGATGTGAGAATAGTTTGGATAGATTGGGTTAAATAAAAGGTATCATTACATTTATTTAACCTCATTTTACTTTTCTTAACATGGCCACTAGAAATTTAAAATCACCTGTGTGGCTCATATTTCTGTTGGACAGCAGTGGCCTAGAGCAGGGTTTCTCAGTCTCTGCACTGTTGACATTTTGGACTGGGTAATTCTTTGCTGTGGGGGCTGTCCTGCGCCATGTAGGCTGTTTAACAGCATCCCTGGCCTCTGCCTACTAGGTGTTAGTAGTACATACTCCCCCCCCCCCCCCCGCATTGCCAGGTGTTCCCTGGGGGCACAGAAATCACCCAGATTGAGAACCCCTTGTGCAGAGACAGTTAGAAAAGTCCGACATGTGCTGTGATGGGGTGAGCTCAGGCTCTGGGGACCAGGGGTGGAATCCTGGAGGGGTCACCTCGAAGCCACAACCTATGTCTGCTTCCAGTTTAGCCACTGATGGCTGAAAGCAAAGGGCCGGGCTTCTCGTAACGCTGGAGGTCCTGCGCAGCGTTTACAATGAGAAGGCTTACTTGAAGCATTGTTCTCTGATACTGGAGCTGCAAGGGACCTTAAACTCAGTGTCTTCAAACTCTTCCTGGTCCAGAGAGGAAAGGTAGGCGAGGCAGGGCTAGAACTCAGGACTCCCGAATCCCGTCTCCGCCCGCTTTCCCCTCCACCGTCTGTGCAGACACCCTTCACTTGTTACCTTGGAGCCCACCCCTCTGGGGTGCCTTGTGGTGACTCCACTCGGAGTCCACATTGTGGTGGGATCCACCGAGGCCACCCCGTAGGTTCTAGGGCTTTTGGCCTCATCCTTGGAGTCCTGGCGTTCTCTAACCAGTGCTTTGCCATCTCTCTCTTCAGTCTGCAACCATCCCTCTGTTCCTGAAAAACAAAGACGTTGCTGCAGAAGCGGTGAGTACCTCGTGTCAGGCCAGCGCCCTCCTGCCTTCCCTCCAGAGTGAACCGTGAGGGGAAGCCAACCAAGACTTTCTCCCCCGCAGGTCACAGGTAGTGGCAAAACCCTTGCTTTTGTCATCCCCATCCTGGAGATTCTTCTGAGAAGGGAAGAGAAGTTAAAAAAGAGTCAGGTGAGGAGAGCTGGTGATATATTTTACTTACTCATGGGAGAGTTCACAGTTGAGTAAGAAGCTAGTCAAAAGCTTGGGGGGAAAGAAAGTCTATCCTCATTAGTCACGGATGCTGTATTTGTGAATTTGCTTATTCAGTAAAACTTATTCGGAGCCCCCAAATCGGTACCCTCTGTGCTTTCGTGCTCATTCACGGACTTGTGCAGAGCAGTGAGAAATTGGAGTTGCCTGATGTGCACGTCCCCAGCTGAGTGTGAACCAGGCAGCGCTCGGCCTTCTTGTTTCAGCTATAAACAGGTGTCATTTTCATGGTCTCCTGACTGCCATGGTTTTTGCATTTTTGTTGGTGGTTTGACTGTTAAAATGGCCCCCAAACATGGTACTGAAGCGCCGCCTAGTGTTCCTGAGAGCAGGGAGGCTGTGCTGGGCCTCGGAGAGAAAACACTTGGGTTAGATGAGCTTCGTCCAGGCGCGAGTGACAGTGCTTCTGGCAGAGAGTTCAACGTTAGTGAATCAACAGTATGTATTGAGCGAGGCGTCTTTAAACAGAAGCACAGGTAAACCAGGTTATGTGTGCATCGGGTGACAGAAATGTGAGCGGAGGCTCGTGGGGACCTAACCCTGTATTTGCCCTGGGAGCAGTCGTTCAGTATTCGCTAGTTCGGTGTTCGTGGTGACTTTATGGAACAGGACTACTGCAAATAATGAGAGCTGACTGAAATTCAAGGGAGTTGATGTGCACTGAGACCAGATGCTGCTGGAAAAGCCCAGGAAGTGCTGCTTCTCTGGGGATTTCCTCTGTGAGGTGGAGGGTGCGGGGCATGTGTGTTCAGCTCTGCGAGCCCGGAGCACTGCTCATCGTGTTCGTCCCCTCACGTGGGCAGGTTGGAGCCATCATCATCACGCCCACGCGAGAGCTGGCTATTCAGATAGATGAGGTCCTGTCGCATTTCACGAAGCCCTTCCCGCAGTTCAGGTAACTCGGATGCAGTGTCTCTCTTAGCCACCAGCTTTGATTTTGCCTGACTTGCTCCAACACCTGTTTCTTGTTTTAGCCAGATTCTCTGGATTGGAGGCAGGAATCCTGGAGAAGATGTTGCGAGGTTTAAGGAACAGGGGTAAGTTTGCTTGCTTCTGCTCTCGGCACTGAACCAAACAGGAATCAGTGTGTGATCTAAGTGGTCTCATCCCTCCCACGGTGGTCCCTGACCTCGCCCTGAGCCTCAGACCCACAGACGCCACTTACCTGCCTGGCATCTCACAGCCATTGCAAAAATGTCTAAATGCGGCTTGGAATTTTCCTCCCCAGACGTGCCCGTCCTCTGGAGTTTCCCGTCCATCTGTCTATGCAGGTGTGCTCCTGAAGTCTGAGAGTCAGCCTTGACACCTCACCGTCCCCTCCATTCCCGCCTCACAGTTAACCATCACCAAATCCTTCCTTTCCTCTCCAAAGCCTCTCTCCAACCATCACCCTTTCTCCCTCGCCACCTCTCCCGCTCATTTCTCTCCTGGGCTCCTGCAGCAGCTTGCTCTCTCTTCTGTGTTTTGACTCTTGCCCTCTTATAATCCACTCTCCACATAGCAACCAAAGTGGCCTTTTCAGGCCACTTCACTCATTGCAAACTCTTTAGTGGCTCCTGCTGGCCCTTAGGGTAGATGCTAATGTTTGTACAGGGCCTGCGAGGCCTCCATTCTCCACTGCCACCACCCTCCCACCCAAGCCTGGCACTGCTGTGGTGACCTGGCTTTCTCCTGGGTCCTGTGTGGGCTGGCCTCTTCCCTATCGCTGGGGGGCTCGGGAAAGTCGGGGTGGTGTCTGTCTTGCAGCATTTTATCTTCAGAGCTTAGCGTGGGGCTAAGCACGCAGCAGGCGTTTAGTAAGCACTCAGAATAAGTGTTGAAGTACATGGTGGCCATCAGTCCTTTGGATTTTACTCAGTCCCGCCATGAATAAGGTTTGAAATGAGCAGTGATAGGTTTTGAGCCCAGGTTGTTAGTGAACCTTAATAAAGAGATCTGTCCTTCATTGAGTGCTCACTCTGTCCCAGCTATAACGTGAGATCCTTTCCAGCAGGAGTCCCCCACTCAGGTTCCTCCAGGGCGCAGGCTAATATCAACGCGTGAGGATAAATGTGAGGAGGTGCTGATGGGAGGGACTGGCTAGTTTATACCCGGATACTCGTCTCCAGCTGGTACTTGTCTTGCAGGACCCTCAGCTCAGTATTGCCAGATTTTGAATTTTTTAAATAGAATGTGGAGTTCTAGGTTTCTGTGTGTGATCTCCAGATTTTTTAAACTGTTGGCATGTGATTCACATTTCACAAAAAACCATCTTGAAGGTCAGCCAATTTATGGGGTCATGTTTGGCCTTCAGTCTGCCAGTTTGTCATCGTTACCTAAAATTCTCGCTCATTCTGTTAACACCCTCATTTTATAGCTGAGTTACCTGGGGCCCAAAGTGGTTGAGTAACTTGCTCTAGGTCAGGGGTTGGCAAACCTTTTCTGTCTTTTACAGACGGTAAATATTTTAGTTTTGTGGACCTCACAGTCTGTGCTGCTGGACCACAGCTGTTCAGCTCTCCTGTCGTACTATGAAAGCCGCCACAGACAGCACGTGAATGAAGTGTTGTGTGGCAGTAAAATGTCACAAAAACAGTTGGGGGCCGGATTCGGCCGATGGGCCAGAGTTTGCTCCCCGGCCTAGGTGTTAGCCTGGAACCCAGATCTGCCCCCTCGCGGCCCAGCTTCCCCCGCAGCACACTCTCCTCCCACTCTCTGCTCTTCTTTCTCTTCCCCGGGATTGAGGTGACCCTTGGGGGATACAAAACTTGGTATTTGGAATCATAAATATTCCCAAGACCCAGAGAGTGCAGTAAATGTCAACCTTGTTTTCCAAGTGGGAACATCATCGTGGCGACTCCAGGCCGCTTGGAGGACATGTTCCGCAGGAAGGCCGAGGGCCTGGCTCTGGCCAGCTGTGTGCGGGCCCTTGACGTCCTGGTTTTGGATGAAGCAGACAGACTTCTGGACATGGGGTTTGAGGCAAGGTACTGGACTTAGGACTTCACCAGCTTTGGGTGCAAAGGAGAGCAAAATAGAATTCCTTTATTACTTCCTGTCTTTATTAGCCACGTGTGAGTTTCAGATCATTCGGTTGTTTGGCCTTTCAAATTCTACCTCACAATTTAAATTCCAGTTCTTTTTTCTTAAGATGCATTTTCCTTCATGGTTTCTTAAAAGGTTTGTGTCTGTGTATTTCTCAAATAAACAGCTTTATTGGGATATAATTCAGATATCATATAATTCACCCCTTTAAAGGGTATGGTTTAATGGTTTTTAGTCTCAAAAAGTTTTGTGTCTTAATTGCGCTCTCTTCTTTTCATTGCCCTATATTATAAAAGTATAATTATATGCTTATATTGGAGAAACCTTGGAAAAATGAGAGTATAAAGAAGAAATAAAAATCACCCATAATCTCACCTTCCAGTAATAGCAACTCTAAATATTGTGATAGTTTCTCTTCCAGTCTTTTTAAATACCTGTTTAGTATCATAACACACTATTTGTTGATGATGCTGATAAATGAGGGGGTTAAGGTTGAGCCCTCTTTTTTAGCATAAACACCATCCTGGAGTTTTTGCCAAAGCAGAGGAGAACCGGCCTTTTCTCTGCCACTCAGACGCAGGAAGTGGAGAACCTGGTGAGAGCCGGCCTCCGGAACCCTGTCCGCATCTCCGTGAAGGAGAAGGGCCTGGCCGCCAGCAGCACCCAGAAGACCCCCTCCCGCCTGGAGAACTACTACATGGTGAGCCCTGGAGCTGCTTCTCACTGGTTCCTGTGGTCAGTAATAACGATAGGGGGTCTGAGGGACAGCGTGGGCACTGTGGTTAGCAATACTGTGTTGTATACTGGAAATTTGCTAAGACAGTAGGTCTTAAGTGTTGTCACCAAAAAAAGGGTAACTATGTGAGGTGACGGATGTGTTAATTAACTTGATTGTGGTCATCATTTCACAATGTATATGTATATTAAGTCATTACATTGTACACCTTAAATAGTGACATAGATTTTTTTTGTTTTTTTGAGGAAGATTAGCCCTGAGCTAACATCTGCTGCCAATCCTTCTCTTTTTGCTGAGGAAGACTGGCCCTGAGCTAACATCCGTGCCCATCTTCCTCTACTTTATACATGGGACGCCTACCACAGCAGGGCTTGACAAGTGGTGCCATGTCTGCACCTGGGATCCAAACCAGTGAACCCCGGGCTGCCAAAGCAGAGCATGCGCATGTTTAACCGCTGTGCCACTGGGCTGGCCCCTAGATATAGATGTTTTTAATATAGTAATATACTTAAATATATTTACAGTTTTTATTTGCCAACTATATCTCAATAAAGCTTGGGAAAAAATGAAACAAGTATTCTACCCAAAGCAGTTTATTGAAAAAACTTAATTCTTTTTGACTTAAACTGCTTTCAATAAGCTTAGTTCTGTTTTTCCTTTTAAACGATCAACTGTAATAATGGTTTTAGCAGTTGATTAGATTTTTGTGTTTCTACTTACTCGAAACATGATTCCTTAATTTTTTAACTTCACTGTCTGTATGTTTTATCAACATGGTATATAGTGTTCCCACTAACATAAGGCAACGCTTAGCAGTTAAAACAAACAAGCAAACAGTAATGATGACGGGTGCTCTAGGGATTAGCTTGCAGTTTTCTAGGAAAGTAAACCTATAAAGTGATATCCAGTGGCACATTTTAAAGTGCATTTGGGGAGAGAGCCAGGACAAATGGTATGGGTGGTCATACTCGTCATTCAACAAGTAAGTGAGTAAGCAAGTTAACGTGGGCAGAAAGGTATTTTAAGCATAGTCTCCAAGGACAGTGTGTATGGACCACCTACCCCCAAGCAATCAACTGTTTATACACGTGCCTGGGGTGTGCTGCGTGCAGGCACGGGAAACACTGGGTCCTGAGTTAGAGAAGGGCACAGCCAGACATGCAGGTGACACACAGGAAATCACATGATAGGCTCACTCCGAAGGAGACTTTGTTAGGCCACAGCGTTCTGCTGCTTTGCGAGCTGGATGTTGGGTAGTTTTGACCTGCAGCTGGGAATTGCTGATTTTGCAGCACTCCACCCTCTCTGTCTACCTGTAGGTTCCTCCCTGGGCAGTGGGGGCTTTTGGAAATGTGATTATTTAGTAACGAGGCCACCCTCTTCCGTTCCTCCCATTGCTGGGATGGGCCAGGAGGCATCCAGAGAGCACGGCCAGCCAGGGTGGCAGCACTATTTGGGAACCAGGAGAACCCACAGGCCAGTGTCACCGCTTGACAAGCCACCTCTAAATCGTCAGCCAGGGTTAGGGTTTTGCTTTTGGCCAACAGGGGCTCCTCAGCTCGTGAATACAGCCACATGTTCACAAAGAAGTGGGCTGGTTTAAAAACCAGTGTATGTTGCTGTGGACTGTAAGGGTGACGAGTCTGCTGTCCTTTGTGTCAGTTCATGGGGGAATTGAAGGTAGAACAGGTTTGCAGTCAGAAACCACCTCTAGTGCAGCTGCCTGGAGGATGCTGCTGAAGTCCGACAGGCTCACGTGAAGTGGGAGTCACCCTTGGCGTTGACATTTCTGAGGCTGGGCTGTAAAGGCAGGAGGCTGGCTCTTCCAGGCAGAGGGAGGGGTCCAGTAGATGGGGTAGTGGTTAAGAGCGCGGGTGCATATCTTGGCTTCATCCCTTACTACCTGAATTAGATGAACTCACCAGGTCGTTGCCTGTAAGATGGGGCCTAGGAGTACCCACGTCATAGGGTTGTTGTGAGGATTAATCTGTTAATACAGATGGAGGTTTTTAGGCCAGTGCTGAGTACATAGCAAGCACTAACAAATGTTAGCTTTAGACACCCACTGTGGCTACTGTTGCGTTCTGCTGTTTGCACTCGTTTAAGTGATTGCATTTAGAGATGTCTGAGTGTGTGAGAAGAACTTCCCCACTGAGCACTTGGTTTTGGTAAAAAAGAGGGAATGCATCCAGGTGGATTTCCTCTCCAGTTTAGGCCTGAACGGAGCATTCTTATTCAGAGGCTGGAGTCCGTCTCCATGGAGGTCTTTACATTCATTATGTACATTCCTTCCTGGAAACCTATGTTCACTTTAGAGCAGTGATTTCTGAACCTGGCTGTGCATCAGAATCTCCTGGGCGCTCTTAAATGATAAGGATTCTTGGGTCCACACCTGGACCTCCTGAATCATAATCTGTATGCTGTGCCCACCAACCTGCATTAAAAAAAAATCTACCCTGGAGATGGTGTGGCTGGCATGGTGGCTGCCTGTATATTGGGATTTGGAACGACTGCTTTAGATGACTGTGTGTCTCACTTACATGATTTGTGACTTGTATGTGTCAGCAGCTCACAGTGATGTTTGTTCTGAGCCGGGCAGACTGATCAACATTCTACTAAAGTCATGGAAGAAATCAGATTCCTTAAAATTTAAGGCTGAAACTGAAAATAGCTATGGGGATTGTTACTGTCAATAAATTTGTTTTTATGTGATTAGTTTTCCTTTTTATTTTGTAGGTATGTAAAGCAGATGAGAAATTTAATCAGCTGGTACATTTTCTTCGCAATCATAAGCAGGAAAAACACCTGGTCTTCTTCAGGTAATCATTGTGGACTCTGTGGTAGGAGACTCGGGGCTCAGCTACACCCAGATGTATGTAGCTCTCAGGTTTAGAAGACCATTTAGGATGATTCTCTCAGTAAGGAATGCTTTTGGCTGCAAATAACTGAAAACCCAACTTCTATGGCTCAAGCAGGAGGAGTTTATTTTTCTCCTGTAAAAAGAAGTCCAGAGGTAGGTCGTTCCTGGCATTGGTTTATGTCTCAGCAATGTCAAGGCCCGTGTTTCTGCAGTTGTCTTGGCCCCTTCTTGTATGTCACCTCATAGTTTCAAGATGACCGCCGTCACACCCTCTGTCCCGTCTGCAATGAAAGCAGATAAAGGAGGAAAGGCAGAGGGGGCGAGAAGGGCAGTGTTAGCTCTATCCATCCTTTTTAATCAGAAGGACAAAAAGCTTTCTCAGAAACCCGTCCTCCCTAGCTGACTTCTGCTTTCATTTTCTGGGCAAAAGTGGGTTACCCACAGCCGCTCAGTTCAAGAGAGCAGAGAAAATGTGCAGCTGTCCCAGCCTCTGTGGTGAGGGAGGCCGAGGAGGAGGTGGTGGGGAATGGCGTTTGGTCAGCCAGCCCAGTGTCTGCCCCTGTGGGGTTTTGTCCTGTTGTCCAAATGCAAGATAGGGATAGATGTGTGTGTTCTTTGCCTTTGCTTTTCCCTCCTCAAATATACCTGTGGCGTTGTTTTTCGGCAATACCAAAAGAATTTTTTTTCTTTTCCATCTGCCATTCCACCAGTAAAATGCATTAGCTATACTGACCCACAGTTAAAAAATATACCCTGGTGTATACACTCACACACAACTGAAACAAGGATTTCATAAAACTGCACTCGACTGGGTGGGAGGCATTCTCGTGTCTTCTTTTCTGCTCTAATTTTTAAACAGTGCTGGTCCAAACTCATTAAATCAATTTCAGGACCCACCAGATTGCTTTCAGGATCTCTGGGCTGTGACCCTCCGTGTGAAAAGTGCTTTATTATGTACCGCTGTGACTCCTGGTGGACCCAGTGCAGACTCTGGGAGCAGTCACTTAGCACAGATGTTTAAGATGGAGGTTTTTAAGTAGACAAGAGTTAGCCCAAATTGGATTCCTGCAGCCTGGTATAGTGGGAAGAACATTGGAGAAGGAATCAGACCTTGGTTCTGGTTCTGGCTCTGCCATTCACACTTGTACTGCCTCTGCATAAGCTTCAGTTCCCTCATCGGCAAAAGGATGTGGCATCACTTTGGAATCCCTCCAAATAAAAGGGGGTCAGGGCGAGCCTTTTATTAGAAGGGTGCTGTATAGGGAGCTCACAGACTCAATGACAAAGTTGAGTCCCCAGCCCCTAGGGGAGACTGGATCTGGGCGGCCCCAGAGAGCTCTGTGGCTCTCTCTTTAGGGCACATCCTCATTGGGATGACCCTGCTCCAGCCCCCTTTTGTCCTTGGGTGACTCGACTCCAAGTCCAAAATTCTGGGAGAGAGGATCAGATTGGTCAACTTGGGTTATCTGCCACGCCCTTGGGGATCACACTAATGGGGGAAGAAGCAGTTCCCCAAAAGAGAAGCAGGAGTGTTTTGAAATCTTCTAAAACTATTTACATTTAAGATGCCATTGTTTTTGTTAAGAATGACTACTTCAGTTTAATTTGTTTCTCAGAGGGCCAGGGAAATTCCCCTTGCTAGAACATCTTTAGACAGTGGGAACACATCCTTGGGGTTTTAACTCATGTTGAAGGGATTTTGTCAAGATTGGCCTTTCGTGGGCTGAGGGGTTTTCAGATTTGAGCTTGGCTGTAGGTGATATTCGTAGTTGTTCTCCTCTGCATTCTCCCGAAGAGGACTGGGTCATCTCCGCTGCGCCTGGCGCTGTGGCCTCCCTACCCCGCCCATTGTGGAAGGACTAAGATGGCCAATGACCCTAAGCCCTCTGTCCCTCCCGCAGCACCTGCGCCTGTGTGGAGTACTACGGCAAGGCTCTGGAGGCCCTGGTGAAGAGCGTGAAGATAATGTGCATCCACGGAAAGATGAAATACAAGCGCAATAAGATCTTCATGGAGTTCCGAAAACTGCCGAGGTGGGTTGGCTCGTTGGATGGCAGCTCTCCACCGCTGTCCACTTCTCCAGGTCCCCGAACCTGCTCTTTTCTCCCCGTCTCTAAGCCTTTGCATCTGTTGTTTTCCCTGCCTGGAGCCCTCTTCCTCCTCTAACCCAGTTATCCTGTCTTCTCTGCGTAAGTGCTCAGAGCCCCTGCCCCTCTGATCCCCACTGCACTCGGCTGTACTCACTTCCTTAGTTACCTATCGACTTCCTGCTCGATTTGAAGCTCCATGAGAACGGGAATCTGGACATTGTGTTCACTCCTGCATCCCCCGTTTCTAGTCCAGGGCCTGGCCAGTGGGGGTTTGATCACTATCTGTGGACCTGGTGAAGAGAGCGGTTGGAACAATCCGTGAAATCCAGCTTGCTGGCTGTCAAGCCAGTGACTACAGAGCAGGGAACTTGTGTCTCTTAATGACCATGACTTGATTCTTTTTGGGCATAAAAATATTAATTTTTTTTTTAAAGATTGGCACCTGAGCTAACATCTGTTGCCAATCTTCTTCTTCTCCTCCTCCTTCTCCCCAAAGCCCCCCGGTACATAGTTGTATATTGTTAGTTGTGGGTCCTTCTAGTTGTGGCATGTGGGACACCGCCTCAGCGTGGCCTGATGAGCAGTGCCATGTCCGCACCCAGGATCTGAACCAGCGAAACCCTGGGCTGCTGAAGCGGAGCGCGCGAACTTAACCCCTCGGCATGGGGCCGGCCTCTAATTTTGTTTTTCTTAATCACTGAGCATCCTGGCTACATTAAAAGCACTTTTTTTGGGCAAAGTGATACAACTGACTGTTACCCCTCAGTCAGAGAGGGAAAATTTCACTTGTTCTTTTCAAGGGCTACAAAGGATGAGACCCACTGCAGTTTCTTTCTTCAAGTGGAAATATGCTAATTTTAAGGATTCTTTCACTGTCTTCTCCACACCTCCTATTTTCATTGGGAATTTGTGAAGTGCTAGAGATTCTCAGGAGGAGGAAAAAAATCAAAATGTTATTAGTAAATACTTGCTTTTGTGAGAGATTCTGGAACCTGTATATCCCTGTTGTCATTGAGATCAGTAAAGACTGTTTGATGGTGATGGAAATGGTGGCCTCCTTACTCAGAATGGTGTTTTCTCATTTCTAGTGGGATTTTAGTGTGTACCGATGTCATGGCCCGAGGAATAGACATTCCCGAAGTAAACTGGGTTTTGCAGTACGACCCTCCCAGCAATGCCAGGTACAGCATGACGGAATGTTCCCCTCTCTCCATCGAGGAGTCTAGGCTAACGAAGTATGGATCCTGAGGAAGATAAACATGACATTTGTCAAAACATTATTTTATGTAGCAAAAATAGGCCAACAGGTGAATCCTCATTGGGATGTCAATAGTGATACCATATTATGCAGTAATTAAAAGTATTTTCAAATGCTTTGTAAAGTTCTTGCAGAAATGCACAAGATAGAATGTTTAAAGAAAAACAATACATAACACCATATATAGAAATTTCAGTTATTCTCCCAAAGTAATTATTCCTAACAAGTGCTTCTAAACATAGGAAAATGCCTGTAAATATAAACTCCTGAGCAATAATAATGGTTACTTTTCGGTGGATGGCTTACATGTCATTTTTATTTTCTTTTTTATACTTTTCATTGTTTCCCAAATTTCCTACTAGGACCACGTCCTACCTGTATCAGATAGGCATAAATTTAAAAATTTTATAGTTCAGTGTCTTACCAAATCCTGTCTGGTTTGCAGTGTATATTTAATCGCCAACTCTTCTGTTGGCAACACCAGGAAGCGGCAGGGTTGGGATTGAGCTTTGGAGTCTGGCAGCTCCAGGTCTGTCCTCTGCTCAGCCGTCATCACGTGGTGACCATGTCCCATCCTGTGTTCACAGTGCTTTCGTGCATCGCTGTGGCCGCACAGCCCGCATTGGCCATGGCGGCAGTGCGCTCGTGTTCCTCCTTCCCATGGAAGAGTCATACATCAATTTCCTTGCAATCAACCAGAAAGTAAGCTGTCTTCGCTCTTCATGTAGAACGCCCAGTGATGGGGGAGCTGGGAAAGTTCTTTTCCAGCAGGTGGTCTGGAACTGAGATTCGGGGATGCAGACTCACAGGGCCAGGCTGGGTCTGTAAGTTTGGGAACGTGGCTGGCTTGAAGGCTGTGGCGAGGCACCAGTGCCCGGCCCCAGCCGAGTGACACTACTTGGGAGTGCAGACTAGTGTTGCCATACTTTCCAGATCAGGATTATGTAAAATTTGATTTTAAAGTTTTCTTAAAAAATTTAAAATACTTTTGGGACCATGAATACTTGGGTTGGATTGGGCTTCCAGTCCTCTGATTTAAGATTAAAATGAATCGTTTGCCTTTGGGTTTATTGGCACTGGCTCTGACGAGGAAGCCTTGGGGAGGAGATTGCAGCTAGAGGTGAGAATGTGGTCTCTGCAGTGCCCCCTGCAGGAGATGAAACTCCAGAAAAACACAATGGACCTTCTTCCAAAGCTCCAGTCCATGGCCCTGGCCGACAGAGCTGTGTTTGAAAAGGGCATGAAAGCTTTCGTGTCATACGTCCAGGCTTATGCGAAGCATGAATGCAACCTCATCTTCAGATTAAAGGGTAAGTTGGACTTTTTCCTCACATAATTGTGTCACCATCTTAAACATGTGATGGTCTTACAAGTATGAAATTGCTTTGTCTTATAAAAACGTTAGGCGTATGTCAGGGTTAATGTTCTCTACACATTGAAAAGGAAATCTTTCTAGGATTTGAGTAGATAGAATAAACTGGCCACTGGCTGCCGAGTGTTCCTTTTTAGTAAAGATGTAATTATTTTAATTCTAATTAAACCCAATCTGTTAAGACCATTTCGTTAGATAAAGTCACATTGTTAGGGACCTTCCATATTTTGGGTGTGCTAATTCTGGTGTTTTGGTTTAATTAGATCTTGATTTTGCTCGTCTTGCTCGAGGGTTTGCTCTGCTGAGGATGCCCAAGATGCCAGAACTGAGAGGAAAGCAGTTTCCAGATTTTGTGCCTGTGGACGTTAACACAGACACCATTCCCTTTAAAGACAAAATCAGAGAAAAGCAGAGGCAGAAACTACTGGAGCAACAAAGAAAAGAGAAGACAGCAAATGAAGGGAGAAGAAAATTCATAAAAAATAAAGCTTGGTCAAAGCAGAAGGCCAAAAAGGAAAAGAAGAAAAAAATGAATGAAAAAAGGAAAAGAGAAGAGGTAAAGTTTGCAGTTTTCTTTATTACTTAAATATTCATCTTAGAATTCTGAACAAATTTTATGGCAGTAGTATCTTTTAATAGGAATTGCTGGGGCCCTCACATTCCTGTTACGTTGGTGACTTGGGTGGGGATGCGCTGTGTGTGGACGCGGGTCTGAGAGCATGTAGTTCCTGATGACAGCCTGCGGGTGGTGCTGAGAAACTCAGGAGTTTGCTGGTTTCTTCTCATAGGGCTCGGATATTGAAGACGAGGACATGGAGGAACTTCTGAATGACACAAGGCTCTTGAAAAAGTTTAAAAAGGGCAAAATTACTGAAGAAGAATTTGAGAAGGGGTTGTTGACAAGTGGCAAAAGAAGAGCTAAGACTGCAGATTTGGGGATCTCAGATTCTGAGGGGGGGGGGGGAAGGGCGGGGCTTCACACTCTTGAATATTTTACTAGAAACATACCAGCCTTGAAGTCTAACAGAAGAAAGTGTAAAATTACTTGAGTGTAAATAATAGATGGCAATATTTATTTTATGGGTTGCCTGTAATTAAAGATCGAATTTTTCTGTGGCTACTTTATACTTATTTTTTAACATAAAGATAGTAACGTATACTTGATTTTAGGCTTTTTAAAATCCTTCTGTGTTTTCAGGCACCTGCCCTCCTGGGTGTCCTTCCCCCTGGACTTGAGTTGTCTCTTGATGCACCGCACAGAACACGTGCACAGGGTGGCTGAGGTTGCTGGGGTTTTTCTAAGAATAGTCCCCAGTACTGCCTTATCGGGGAGTATCTGAAAACAGGAAGCAAGTCATTTTCTGGGAAAGAAAATTATGTCTGTTCAATAAACTATATCCTAATCGACTGTGTCTTAAGTGTGTGAACGTGCTGCATAGTGTCTTTGCCAAGATGGCCAGTGTGCTTTGGGCCTGGGGTCAGCTCGTAGTAGTGATGCAACACCGTATCAAAATATTGCATATAATTTATTTGAAAAGATGCTGAATTTGTTCCCAAGTACAACTGTAAAAAGCTGTTTGGGACCCAAACATGTTTAAATTCCCATCTTTCACAGATATAGAATGTAAGTTTACAAATGTTCTGGAAGGCATCTTCGTTAGTGGTGAGCCACGCAGGATACTCCTGCTAACTGCTGTTTCTGTCTTCTTTGAGTTCTCTTGGTAGTTTGCACTCCATTTGGCTTGATCCTGTCGAGGGGAGGCAGCTCACGTTCCCCACTGGAAGCCTGATGTGAATTCAGCAAGGGTTTCCTGCCTTCCTATGAGGCACCATATGCAACACATGTCCTGAGCAGCTGTTAGTCACTGAAGCGGCGCCTGGCTGCAGTCAGGAACACCTGCTTTTTAGACGTGCATCTCTCTAACTGATGCTTTTGGCCAATGAGGCTGGAGTGCAGAGAAGATGAAGGGACGGGGACTTGGGCACGTCTTCTATCGTTAGTCAAGTAGCCAATGATCTGACTTGTTTCTGGAAACAAGACGAAAGGTGTCTAGAAACTATAAGCACTATTTAGGTTGGGTTTTAGGGGAACTGTGAACATATTTTAGGTAGGACTGAAATGAATAAAAAAAGATTCTCCAAGACTTCTGATTTTAAATCCTTAGTCCATAGATCTTCATTAAGAAAACAGTTCAGTTTTGGCGTGGCTCATGGAGGGGTCAAGCGGGTACTCACCCTGCCCCACCTCTAGCAGCTATACGCTGGCAAGGAAAGATCCAGTGGTTATAGATACAGCTTGATGAGCTCGTCGCTGACTGCTGAGGGCGTCAACACCCCCAGGTCTGTAAACAGCAGAGTTATCAAGGAGGGGGAGGTGTAGTCCACCCACGGGTGCTCCTCTTTGAGGTCTTGTCCCGTCTGCGCAGACTTCAGAGTATCTGGCTTATACTGCAGAGAGAGGAAACATAGTTAGTCTGCCCCACAGACTGAGGGCTCTGACGTGCTGAGGCCCTGGCTCTCCGGAAGCGGCGCGAGGGCAGAGTGTTGCTCGGGTCAGCCAAATCATGGTGGCCGAGGGCCACAGATAACGAAAAAACCCAAACCATGTGTTCCCTCGTTAGTGTGCTGCGTTAACTCCTCCAGACGTCTCAAGATAATTTATTTACAGGGAACTTATACTATGTGCCAGGTACTGTGCTAAGCTCTTCCCATGGATAATCTCAGAATCGTTATAACCCTGATAATCCCATTGTACAGATAACTAAGTTCAGAGTTTAAAATGAAAGGACTCGCCCAGGGTCACATGGTTAGTAAGTGGTAGATGGGAGCTGAGCCCAGACAGTCGACTCCAAAGCCTGGACTGTTGGCCACCAGCTTCCCCTGCCTCCCAGCCCATATCTGCTTAAGCGAATGAGAGACCAAAAGACAAATCCTGGGCACAAAGTAGGTTCTGTGTGTTCAAGTCCAATAACCAAAAATTTATCTTTGTATCCCAAGTGTCGGAGAAAATAGGAACGGGAAGTGAATAAACTTATTGGAACATTCTCAGCGCTGCATTTTTCCAAAGGTTTCAGTTTAAACTCAAATATCCCCTCTAATATGTAAAACTCTTGCCTTAAACTCATCTGGGACATCTTGCTGGTTTAGTGGGAAGAGTCGTACAAACTTGAAACTTTCTGCAACCACATAAAAAGGCTTGTTCTGTGCTTTGGCGCACACGGCCATCTGGTTGGTTCCAATCTGAGAAGTCAGAGAAAATGGAAAGTGAGATCTTATGGCACATCTCAAGAGGAAGCACCAAAGTATATGAGTGAACATGAGACATGCAATTCTGGCTTTGGAATTCAATAGGAGATTTTAAAGAAAACAGAATAGACATTTCTCCAAAGATATACAAATGGCCAATGAGCACATGAAAAGATGCTCAAGATCCTTAGTCATTAGGGAAATGTAACTCAAAACCACAAGATACCACTTCCCACCTACTAGGATGGCTATTGTTAAAAGACAAAGCAACAAGCGTTGGCAGGAGGTAGAGAAACTGGAATCCTTGTATGGTGCTGGTGGGAAAGGAAAATGGTGCAGCTGCTATAGAAGAGTGGTTCCTCAAAAAGCTGAACACAATTACCACATGACCCAGCAATTCCACACCCAGGTACACAGCCAAGTGGACTGGAAACGGGAACCCATAATGATCACTGTACCAATGTTCATAGCACCATTACTTACAAGAGCCAAAAGGTAGAAACGATTCAAGTGTCCATCAACTGATGAATGAACAGAATGTGGTCTACCCATTAACAGAATGGAATTCAGCCTTAAAAAGGAATGAAGGAGCAACACCTGCTACGTGGACGGACTCTGACAACAACACGCTCAGTGAAAGAAGCCAGAGTCAAAAAGGACAAATATTGTACAAGTCCACTTATATGAGGTACCAAGAATGGGCAAAATCACAGAGTCACAAAGGAGAATAGATGGGGCAGGAGTGGATGAGGGAGTTTTTGCTTAATGCTGACAGCTTCTTTGGGGTGATGGAAAAGTTTTGAAAACAGCGCTGATGGCTGCACAACAATGTCAATGTAATTAATGCCACTGAACTGGTGGCATTAAAGGTGATTAAATGGAAAATTTTACATTATATATATTTTACCACACGCATAAAAAAACAAATGTTAAGAAATATATAAACTATAACATAACATGTTGATGTCAAATATGCTCAATTAAAAAAATTTAAAAACGTACTTTCAGTTAAAGCCTATTTTGAGTCAGTATAAATTACATTCCCCTAATTTACAGAGATCAATCTCCAAAGCAGAAGGAAACCTGACTAATCTTTGACTGACTACTGCAATGGCTTATGGGAACCGGGAAGCAACTGGACGCAGTGGTGAAGTCCTGAAGCTAATCAGGAGGAGACGAGGAAGCAGAACAGACGAGACTGTCTTGGTGTCCTAGGTCGGCAATGGCTCTCCACGCCTTGAGCAAGGAATTCTGGAGAACGACGCTCCCACCTTGTTAATAATCCCTCCGTTTTCAACAACTCCTTCAGCACCAACTATGACGAGATCCACTTTCTCCATGATGTAGCTAAGGAAATTAAAAAAAAACAACTGTTTTCTTGGCTCTTGTTAGCATCACCACCTGGAAAAATTAATATTCCATTTTGATCATGGTGAGTTCCTCCCATAGTTACCTTTCTTCAGAGGAGCGCTTAGCACAATCAGCTCTTGGCTCTGTTACCAGTTCTGTTACCAGGGGCATTAAACCCTTTTGTGAAGACAACCCCACAGTAAGAGGTATACTTCACACTGCCACCCGCACGTGCACATGTACGCATGTAACGGGAGCAAGAATTTCACGACCCAGTGTTTATCCTTACTACGTGTAGTACACTCTATTTTCTGTTCTATTTTAATACAAACAAAACAAAAATTTAAAAACCTGATCTGAAGATGGAAAAATGTTATGTAATTTAAGAATCTTTCGGGTAGGGTGAGGGTTAATTTACCTTTTAAAATGAGCATTAGTAGAATTCTTCAAAATTCTTACTCTTGAATACATTCCTAATCTCCTTAATCGTTTGTCTTATGTGTTTTCCTTCTAAGAGATTATGACTCCTATTTTCTCTTGTGAGGCACACTGACAATCCACGGGTCACGTGACCTCGGTTTTAGGCGTGAAGCCGCACGGGCAAAGAATCTGAGCGCTACTGAGGACAGCCCACGCCTCCGGGTGAGGAAGGAGCACTGCGCCCAGGTGCTGAGCCTGACCCGGCCTTTGCACCTGGCTCTTGAAGTGCACCATAATAGGACAAACGACTCCCACTCTCCCCACCAGCCTACAGCCCTGGCTTCTGCGTACACTATCAGGGCCTTATAACACGCTTGCTGGTTTACTGCAGCTATCAATTAAGGGGTGGGACGCTCCCAGTGCAGGTTTATGAATGGGACTCAAACCTTCAATCCAGAACCTGCTCCAAGCCAGCTCTGGGAGTGGGTGAGGAAAAGCGATTGTGGCCGGGAAGCTGGACACTTACCCCACAGCGGCATCCAGGACCACAGTGACAGGGACGTTGAGGTGGCAGAGGGCTTTGGCCATTTTCTTACTGAAAATGACATTTTGAGAACATCAGAGGAAGTCCCATAGTGATGTATGACGCGTCACTTAATTTGGTCAGTGATAAATCATGTTAGCTTGAAACTGAGTCAATATTAATGGATTAAGGGGAAGATCCCAAAACTCTGGACTAAGAAAATGAGCATTTGGGTTCTTTAGAAGGAAGTATGTGTTTCTGGAAAACTATATTCTTGGGGACTATGGGTAAGAGAAGCAAATTTGGAAAAAAAGAGTTTTGCTTTTATTATCTTCTGGATAAAGATGTGAATTATCTATTCTTTGGTAAAAATCTTTCAACTGACACAATCTCTCACTGTTCCTCTGATTTAACTACCAAATAAACCCTCTAGATCCCATATTCCCACGTACAGCAAATTCACAGTGATTTTCTTCCAGGGGCAGAAGCGGGCACTGGCAAAGGCAATGCTGATTGACTAGCAAATCAGGGGGCATGTTCTGGCTCCGCTCACGATTCTATCCCTCAGTTTGCTCTTTAAAATGACTGCTGGGCATGTAACCAGATGGAAAGATACTTGCCCTGATAAATCCGGCTGCGACTCAGTAATGTACACACTGAAACGCTTCTTGGCCCTCACAGCTGCTTCCAAGACTCTCAGGACCACTCTGGAGTAGGCGTGAGTTAATATTCTCTGTGGACCAAGACAGCTCTGTCAGAAGGGCAAGCGTCTCAGCAATCCCCACACCCTCGGCCACTCTAAAGCATGTTCCTGGTACCCTAAGGCTTTTCTGTATGCATTCTCACAAATCAACTATAATCAGAAAGCGATCCTGGATGGTACTCTGGGTTTTGAGCCCATATACAAGTTGAGAAAGGTTTCTGCCAGAGGAAGACATCATGGGTCTTCCCTTCCCACAGCAGGTACAGAAGGGGAGTCCCCACACAGTGCCGCTCACAGGATACAAAGCCTTTTTATCTGAAGCCCCCTTTAGGCTCTTTGGGTTGTTTTTCCTATTTCTAAGACATGGTTTGGGCCTATAGGCACCAGGAAGCTGGTATAAAATAAATGCAGTGGGCTGGGTGGGGCCAGCAGCAAAGTAGACAGGCTAAGCTCCAGCTGTTGTCACATGGTCCACTGTTGCCAAATCATCTGATTTTTCTAGAGAAGCTGAAAATCTAAAATTTCAATGTTGGCTAACTAATTTTTAAAAAATGTATAAACACTATAAACACAGGTAAACACAACCCATTTACGGGCCAGATACAGTTTGTAGACATTTACATGCAACCTATAAGGAATAGAGTACAGAGAACTGTACGCTGCAAGATGGACGGACATAGCCCTCTAGCTCCTTTCTGGGTCTCATGTGGGAGCTGGTTGGAAATGCAGGTTCTCAGGCCCCACCCCAGACCTACTGAACCAGAAGCTGCATTTTATAAGATCCCCAGGTACTGCATCCGTATGTTCCAATCTGAGCATCTCTGCTCTAAGTTTAGTCTGAATCAGTGCTGATGCAGTTGGGGATTACACGTTAAACTACACAGAGCACGTGAAGCCCGCAGAACACGGGCAGCGCGGCGAGTCTGCCAGGAGGAGAAGGCCTCAGCCAGAGGCAGTCATGACCCTGCTCCACTGGCCTAAAAATGGCTTTGTCTGCAACTGGCTCTTGCACATGCTCCCTTCACATGTCTTATGTCATTTATTTAATCACACACTTCAAAGGCCGGGAAGAGGTAATAAAACAGAGGGCAAGCTTTCAGAGTCGAAATGCAAGTCAGTCATTTTATGGTCGGTGCAGCCTTAGACGGCAGAAGGGAGGTCCGCTGCCGGGGGAGACGCGTCCGTTTTACTGCCCTTCAGCTGGGAGAATGACTGAACTTGCAGCTCCTGTCTTTCCTCGCTTACAAACACTTGGCAGCTTTGCATCTTGGTAACAGCATTTGAAATGAAGTTAAAAAGAAAATCTCACACCAGGGCCCCGCTTCACCAGGAAGACAGTCGGTATTACCCAGGGATGAGAGCTGCTCTGTGCTGATTCAATTCAGATTTAGTACATATCCAATAATAAAAATACTTCTTTAGCAAGACACCTTATCAAATCCAGAATCATCCATGCTGTCCCAATGTTGTTCTCTGCCTGTTTGAAATGACAACCATCTGTAATATCTCCATTTATATAGTGCTTACTATGAGCCAGGCACAGTACAGAGGCTTACACATACCATCTCATTATTCCTCATGACAACCCTGTAAGGTAGGTACTATTATCACCCCTATATAATAGATGAAACAACTGCAGCACAGAGAAGGTAAGTAACTTGTCCATGGTTACACAGCAAGTAAGTGGCAGAGGCAGGATTTTACCCCAGGGGTCTAACTCCGAAGTCCTTGCCCCCAATTCCCACACATGGTGAAAACCTACTCACCGCCCCATCTTTGATGAAAGTATGGCACAGATCCGCAATTTTGTTTCTCGACAGTGATATTCTCCTGAGAAAAAGCTCTCCTCGCTCAATCATGATCTCTTTACATTTGGAGTAATCCTATGAGGGAAGAGCCAAATGAGGGGAACTGGAAGATCCGGGGAAGGCTGAGAATGTTTGTAGCCAAACAGAGAAGCAGAAAGGTAACCCGAGGGAGGGCGGGGGCTTACAGAGTATTCCAGGGAGGTAAGGCTGATGAAGCGCAGGAAGAGCTCGCCGCCTGAGGACACGGCCACGGAGGAGTCCACGCCACACAGGGTTTTTATGGCCCTGGTGAAATTTGCTCTCAGACCCTGGATTGTCTCCCCTGGAATGATCACACAAGGAATGTGATGTTCATTTTAGTATCACTGCCCCTTGTTGGGTCTGCGATTCATTCATTCATTCAACCAATCTTTACTGGGTGTATACTCTGTGCCAGGCACTATTCTAGATGCCAGAGATACATCCGCGAACAAGACAGACAGGGTCCCTGCTCTGATGGAACTCCCTTTCCAGTGGAAGATGCAGACAATAAGCAAGCACAGAGAAAAATAAGCAATTTAATTACAGATTGTAATGACAGAAAAAAGCAGAATGATGAGAAAGGTAGAGCTACGTTAGACAGAGTTAAGAGGGATGGTCTCTTGGAGTGGGGGCTATCTAAATTGAGACCTGAGTTAAGAAAGGATCCAGCCACATAAAGATCTGGTGGGAAAGGTTCTAGGCACAGACCATACCATGCAAAGCCCCGAGATGGGAACACATTTGGTGTGAGAAACAAAGAGAGGTCAGCATGGGTGAAGCACAGTTCAATGAGAGACAGTGTGGAAGGAATAAAGGAAATTAAGCAGCAGCGGCAGGAGGTCTGTGAGGTGGTGCAGGTGAGCCTTATGTGTTTGAGCGTTACTGTAAGTACAATGGGAAGTCACTGGAGGTTGTCCTATAGACATATGTCTCTGGGCCAGCCTTTCAAAGTAAAGAAGGCTTTATTTTGCTTATACAAGATGTCATGCTATACCTAGACTCTTACATTTAGGATGCCTGAATCAGTAGGCAATGAGAATGAATGACATTAATACCAGAATTTATTCTGGAATGTTCTCTGTAGCAGCTGCACAGAATCTGGCACAAGACAGAAGCTTAATAAACACTTGTAAAGCTGAACTACTGCTAGAATTTAAGCTTCATGGTTATCTGGATATAAATGGTCACTCTTGATTCGAAGTATATTTCATTTATGAAAGGGCACCCATTTAATGATACCTCGAGGCTCTCTCCAGGTTAAAAGGAGGACTGAAATGAAGGAAGAAGCTGAGCTTGCGGCTACATTACCTTATGTAGGCACGCAGACATCTCTCACTTTCTGCACTTCTAACAGTTATTAGAAGACTTTCCTAACAGGCAGAGTGTTTGAGGACGACACTCTTACCTTTATCTCTCTTCAAGTACTCCAGCAAAGTCCGGATGGCAGCCACTGCTGAGGCCATGTCAGGATCTTCTTTCATTTGAGACTTAAAGTATTCAATTAACTCTGGGCAGAGAGAAAAAAGTGATTCATCAAATTCATTTAGCAGGATGTAAGGCCAGAGAGCTTGTTAATGATTTTTGACCTTAAGAAGAAAACTAATTTTAAAAACACTTTCTTTTCAGGGTGTTTGGCTTCAGGGACATTGTAAATGTTGATGGGAATAGAGATGACAATATTTGCAAGCTCTTTCTCTTTCATTTTTAAAAAGCTATCTGTATACATACAGTGGCATAAAATATAAGCCTCACCAAATGATAGTGAAAGATCATTCTCTTCTTATCCTTGACCCCAAGTGCTGAGAGGATCCCAGAGTCAGCCACCTTACCAATTTCTTCAGCACCCCTCCAGACAAGTCTATGTGAAGTCAAGCCTAGTCACCTACATACATATGTACATGTATGTGTATGTAGAGGTCCACCTCCCTCTTATTTTTTTACATGAAAGGTACTACATATATTAGTTTGTCCTTGTTTTCCTCTTAAAAAAACACCTTGGTAACTATTCCAGATGAGCACATCAAATACGCCTTTTTCTTTTGATTCTAGTACCAGATCCAGCAGTGCAGGGGGTCTTACTTATACTTCACATACCAGGAAACCAAGACTGTGAAGACCTGCACACTTCGTCCGAATCTCACTTTTTTGGAGAAGGGCACTGGAAAGCGTGGGGAAAAGGGGATGTTTGGGGATACCCCCAGGACCCATCTCTCAGATACAGGCGCATCGAGATGAATTTAGCTGTGTTAGAGAAAGCACATCCAGCCCAGCAGCCTGAGCTTGGAAAGTGACCTCTCCTGGAGCCCAGACTGGGAGGTGCGAGGCGGACGGACCCCTGCGCGGCTCCGCTCAGGCCCAGCAGGTCCGTCCCATCCCGATTTACCCTTGTCATCCATGGTGCCCTCCGGACCGCGGAGCCAGACCGGGCCGACCAGCCTAAGCCGCCTGGATTGCTCCCGCGACCGCGCGGACTCCAACACACACCGACTGACAGCGCGCGGCTCACCTCCCCGCCCCACTTCCGGCGCTTTGGGGGCGGGGCCGTGGGTACGGCGCGCGGCCTGGGCCAAATTGCCTGCGCGTCACTCGGCGGCGCCGGAAGTTGGAGTGCACGGGATCCGGGAGACTCGCTGGAGAGCGCTTGGCTGTGCGCTGAGGGACCTTGGCCGCCATGGTCTCAGACGGTGAGGGCTGCGCCGGGCGGGACTCGGACCCTGGGCTTAGGCGGCATCGACCCGGCCAGGACTGGCCAGTTGGGGTGTAGTTCTTGGGCTGAGTGGAACCTGTTTGGTCTTTAGAGGAATAGCGAATGTACTCATTCATTCATTCACTAAATCTTTTTGGGTCGCCCGTCTGTGTGCCAGGCGTTACTTTTTGTATACAGTACTTTTTGAATACAGTAGAGAACAAGACAGACAGGGCCCTCATGGAGGTTACAGTCTAGTGCGAGAGACGGACAGTAGGCAAGTAAATAAAGATAGTTTCGAAGGGTGACAAGAGCTATGAAGACAGTATAATGGGGTGATGTGTTAGATTGTGATTAGGGGGCGATCAAGGCGGAGCTACTTTAGACAGGAGTCCAGGGAAGACCGAGATGTTGAAACTAAGACTTGAATGACTATGCAAAGGTCCCCTGGAGTTGAGCCACTACATATACTAAGACAGAAAAGGGAAACCTGGGGTTAGAGGAAGGTGGAGACACTTTGATTCGTACATTATACCATCAGTTATAGAGCTGGGTATCTTAAAGGAAGAAAAAAGAGGCCAGGGTGGCAGGAGCAAGGTGGGCTAGAGGGATGAGATCAGAGAGCGAGCCAGGTGCATGGCCCTAGTGGGCCATGATAAAGAACTTGAGCTTTATTTTTAAGTGTATTACAAAGCCGTTTTAGGGTTTTATACAAGGAAGTGTTACTATCTGATTTCCAGTTTTAAAAGGTCACTTTGGCTGCTGTGTGAAAGATGGACTCTGGGGAGCAAGAATAGACGTAGATCCTTTCGGAGGCCTTGACAGTTGTCCATGCTTCCTTTTATCTGTTGTAGTCACACCCTATGAGAGAGGCAGACCAGGCATGGCCCTTGTCTATGAAAGAGGAGGTAGAGACCCATAGAAGGAAATTCACAGGGACATCCCATGTGTATGGATACACACCTCTTCTGACAGGCGACACTTTATCTTTTTCTCAGGCTTCTTGGTAGTAGCAAGGAATGGATGGCTCTCAGAATTGTGGGATGGGGCTTGATGGAGAATAAGACCAAAGACTTAAGTGCTTAGGGGGAGGGGGATGGGCGCCTGTGGGAGACATGGTTATTAAGTGTCTCTTCTGTACTGGGCACTGTGTTGTGTGATTTATATGTATTATGTCTTCCCAGGACTAGCAAAAATCCTCATTCTTTAAGGAGTCCACAGTGTAGTGGGCAGGGTTGGGAAGAGGTCAGTAACACAACTAACTATAAAATGAGGTAGTGAGTGTGAGTGTCATTAGAGGAGGGTGAGTGCTGTGGGTGGTCAGAACTAGGCAGTGGGGCAATGGAAAGCCGCAGCCTTTAGAGTCAAGCAGATCTGACTTCGAAGCAGAAGCAGGACCGTTGGGCTTTGCTACTTGCTGGCAGACTATGCGACTTAGAGCACATTACAAAGTTGAGAGTTATTTTCAAAATAAGAATACCATATTTCATCTAATCTAAGACTGTGTTGATTATGAAATGTGCTTTTATTTAATGTACCACTAAGACAGAAAAGAAGGCTGCCACTCTTAATCGTCAGATACCATCCTAATTTCAGCAACTGTTAAATGCGAAAAAAAAGGAGAGGGTACATGTTATAATTGATGAACGCAATGCTGTGTCCCCCGATGGGTTGTTGTCAGCATGGAATGAGCTTACAGGATTACATATGTCAGTGCCTGATACAGAGGAGGGTGACATTCCTGCTCTCCTGAGATGGGGGAGCCAGGACCTGTTAGAAGACCTGGGGGAAGAAAGAGGTGGCATTGGTTTGAGGCCTTGAAGAGTCAGTAGGGTTTGGATATGTAAGCAGAAATCAAAGACGGGTGAGGATTATCCTGATACAGGAGACAGGGAACTGCGGGAAGGAAGGTATGGGGGCAGGAAAGGCATTACTGCTCTTTGTTATTAAGTGAGCGTCCTGGGTTTTTTGTGACAGTATGTGCTTGTGGGTTCATATGTCTCTTACCTCAATAAGAATATAGGCTTCTGGAGGGCTTGGACCCAGTATCTCCGACACCTAATACTGGTACTTAGTGTAAATGTTTGTTGAATGAGTTAATGTGTTAGGTTAGCTTGTTTAGTTGTGTCTGTCACTTTGGAGAGCAGCCTAATTCCCTTTCACAGTAAAATCTCCTTTACGTAGGAATTGCTTTTCCCTCTTTGGTCTTCACCTTTTTAAAACTGGTTCCTAATCACAGTTGGCCTTGCTGCTGGGTGATTTGATGGACTCGGGGCAACATTGATTCCTGTGTCTCCCTTTAACCCCTGCATGCCCGAAATTCTGCTGCTAGTGATTCTCACTGCTGGTTTATCATTACCTTCTCTCCTTGACCAGGCATTTAAAATGCATGTCTGGGCTGGCCCGGTGGCACAGTGGTTAAGTTCACATGTTCCGCTTTGGCGGCCTGGGGTTCACTGGTTCGGATCCCGGGTACAGACATGGCACCACTTGTCAAGCCATGCTGTGGTAGGTGTCCCACGTATAAAGTAGAGGAAGATGGGCACGGATGTTAGCTCAGGACCAGTCTTCCACAGCAAAAAGAGGAGGATTGGCAGCAGATGTTAGCTCAGGGCTAATCTTCCTCAAAAAAAGAAAAAAAATGCATATATCTTTGGGTTTGCTTAATAGATATTTATCGAGCATCCGCTATGGCTAGGCAACATACTACAAGCAGAAATAAGCAGTGACAAAACAAACAAAAATTCCCCCACGTGGCATTTAGATTCTAGTGCATGAAAGATGCAGTGGTGCAGAAAGCAGGCAAGAGCTTGCCAAGGCCCCACAGAGCTTTAAATCTTTAAAAGAACTTGGCCTTCTGTCAGTCTCATGCTTTAGGATAATAGACATGTGAAGGCATATAGTGGTGCTTGATCTGGATTTAAGTTACAAATTGGGAACGCTTCCTTTGATTCACTTTCATGAAGCTAATGTTTTTCATTTTTTGTTAATGTTTTCAGAAGATGAATTGAATCTTCTAGTTATCATAGTTGATACCAACCCAATATGGTGGGGAAAGCAAGCATTAAAGGAATCTCAGGTAAGATTGCTTGAAGAAGCCTTTGGCTAATTCTGGTTTAACTGAGTATATGTTTATATTGCTTTTTAAAACCAGCTTTATTAAGGTATAATTTACATACCATAAAATTCACCCATTATAATGTACCATTCAATGGTTTTTTAGTAAAAATCACAGTAAAGTCGTGTAACTATCACCCCAGTTCCGTTTTAGAGCATTTCTAGCAGCCTAGGAAGTTTCCTCCTGCCTGTTTACAGCCGATCACTATTTCTACTCCACAGTCACAGGCAGCTGCTGGTCTGCTTTCTGTCTCTATATTGCCTTTTCTGTACATTTCACATATTGATTCCATGTAATATATAGGCTTTAAAAAAAAACTTTCTATTTTGAAATAATTATAGCCTCACAGGAAATTGTAAAAAATGGTACAGAGAGGTCCTGTGTGCCCTCGCCCCAGCTTCCCCGACTGGTGACATCTTATGTAACTGTAGTACAATATTGAAACCAGGGAATTGACATCGGAACAATCAATAGACCATATTCGGATCACAATAGTTTTACATACACTAGTGTGTGTGTGTATGCGTGTGTGTGGTTCTGAGCAGTTTTAGCACATGTATGGATTTGTGTGACCACCGCCACAATCAAGATACAGAACTCTCCATCACAAAGGAGCTCCCTTGTGCTGTCCCGTATAGTTGCTACACCTTCGCAGTCCCTGTCCCTGACCCTTAGTGATTACTAGTCTACTGATCTGCTCTCCATCTCTGTAATTTTGTTACGTAAATAGATCATACCGTGTGTAACCTTTGAAGTTGCTCTTTTCACTCAACAGAATGCCTTTGATCCATCCACGTTGATTCATGTATTGAAAGTTTGTCCTTTTTATTGCTGAGTAGTATTCCATAGTATGATGTACCGTAGTTGAATCATTCACCTATTGAAGGACATTTGGGTTGTTTCCAGCTATTACATAAAAAGCTGCTCTGAAAAGTTATGTACTGGTTTTTGTGTGGACGTAAGTTTTCATTTCTCTGGACTAAATGTCCAGTAGTGCAACTGCTAGGTCATATGGTAATCACATGTTTGGTTTTTTAAGAAACTGCTCTAGGGTATTGTACACAGAGGTATCATTTTACATTCCAACCACAAAGTATAAGAGATCCAGTTTCTGGATCCTCACCAGCGTTTGGTGTTGTCACTGTTTCTTATGCTAGCTATTTTAATCGATGTGTAATGATACCTAATTGTGCTCTTAATTTGCATTTCCTTCATGGCTTGTGGCATTGAACGTCTTTTCATATGCTTATTTGCCATCTAGATAGTCTCCTGAAATGTCTTTTCATGTCATTTGCCCATTTTCTGATTGGATTGTTTGGGGTTTTTTAACTATTGAATTTTGAGATTTATTTGTATATTCTAGATATGTCCTTTGTCAGATATGTGGTTTGCAAATATTTTATTTGCTGGGTCATATGGTAAGTTTAGATTTAACTTTTTGAGATGCTACCAAACGTTGTGAAAGTGGGTACACTGTTTTCCATTCCCGTCGGCAATGTCTGAGAGTTCCAGTTTCTTCACATCCTCTCCGACGTTTGTCTGTCTTTTTGATAACAGTCATTCTACTCAGTAGGTGGTAGAATCTCATTGTGGTTTGAGTTTGCATTTCTTTAATGACTAATGATGGTGAGTCTTTTTCATATGCTAATTAGCCATCCATATATTTTCTTTGGTGAAATGTGTATTCGGATGTGATGCCCAGTATTTAAATTGGACTGTTTGTTTTCTTATTATTGAGTTGTAAGAATTCTTTATGTGCTCTGGATATAAGTCCTTATCAAATATTTGATTTACAGATATCTTCTCCTGGTCTATGGCTTTGTGGCTTATCTTTTCATTTTCTTAATGGTGTCTTTTTAAACAGCTTTATTGAGATATAATTGACATAAGTAAACTGTACATATTTAAAGTGTTCAATTTGATATGTTTTTACATATGATTATGTTTATGAAATTATCACCACAATCAAAATAATGAACACATAGATCCATCATCCCTAAGAGTTTCTTCATGTTCCTTTATAATTTATCCTACTCACCTCTCTCTGCCTATCTCACCCCCAGGCAACCACTGATTTGCTTTCCAGCACTATGCATTAGTTTACATTTTCTATATTTTTATATAAATGGAATCAGGCAGTATGTAGCAGTATGTAGTGGGTTTTTTCTGGTCTGGTTTTTTTACTCAGCATAATTTTGCAGTTTGTCCGTGTTGTTACATGTATCAGTAGTTCATCCCTTTTCGTTGCTGAATAGTATTCCATTGTATGGACATACCAGGACATCACTGCTTATTACCCTTTTACTCTCCAGAAAGACTGTCTTATTTTGCACTCTCCCCACTGGCATATTGAGAATTCCTTTTTTTCTTTTTTGCCCCAACACGAGATGCTCTCTTCCCTTGTTTTATCTTTGGCCAATATGATGTACCCAAAGAAATCATCTCCATTTGCCTTCAGTGTCTTTGATGGCCCTTCAGATTTCTCCCTTGGAGCAGTGCCCATTTTTCTCTTTGAGCATTCCTTTTTTTTCATGATTTGTGGACACTCTTTGTATTAAAGTTGACCCATTGCCTGTCATATGTTGCAATTATTTTTTTCCAGTTTGTCTTTTCCAATTTGTCTTTCACTTTTGTTTATAGTCATTTTTTTTGCTATATAGAAATTTTAATTTTTTTAAATGTTTTCTTTAATAGGTTGAAATTTATCAATGTTTTACTTTCTGCCCAAGGTATTTTTTTCTTTAAGAGAAACATGCCTTATTCCAGGATTATAAAAATATCCACCTATGTTTTTTAGTAACATTATTACTTATGAGAATATCAGCTCCATGAAGCTCTGTCTCTTTAAGAAGGGACAGAACACAGAACGGGTGTTTAGCGTTCTTAGTGATTGAATTGGAACCTTTCACAAATCAATTTAATCAATATGTATTGATTATGTACTCCACCTGTAGCAATAGTATGCTAGTAATTTTATCATGGAAGATGTGACGTGTTTGCTATTCCCTAAATGTTATGCAGAAAATACTTGTGGAGTATTGTATTGATGTAGAGATGATTGCATATAAGTAAAATTAAAAAGCTGTAGTTTTTAAGTGTTTTTACTTATGGAGGCAAGAACTCCTGAGCATATTTTTAGCAGTGAATAATTGTCTGAAATTTAAAGGAAATCGTGCTCATTTCCAGGACCTGATACAGTTTTTTGGATAGCTAATTTACCTTTCTAATGTCTTCTGTTTTTTTAACAGTTTACTTTATCAAAATGCATAGATGCAGTGATGGTGTTGGGAAATTCTCATTTATTCATGAATCGGTGCAACAAACTCGCTGTGATAGCAAGCCACATTCAAGAAAGGTATGGCCCTTTGTGATTACGCTCCCTGCTGAGGGCTTAACGTTTGAGACATTTTTACGCCAACTGGCATGTATTATTTCTACTCTCTGTTGCAAAAAATTTTTTTTCTGTACCAGTGAGCAATACTCACAGCGTCAAGAATGGGTATGAATATTGAAAACTTCATTAGCTGATGTATAGTACCTGTGCACATTTAACTTACACAGATGCAACTATATTCTCTAGGCAAACGAGAGAATTCTCAGATCAGGCAGGCCGCTCCCATCTCTGCTCTACTCCTGGCTCTCCCCCGAGGGGGGGATGGGAGGTGTGATTCTGCGTTGCCTTTAGCCATCTTGGCTCCTGTGTACCTCTCACGGTGTGACTATTTCATGGATCTGTGTGTGGTTTTGGTGTTTATAAATAAGGATTTTTCTTCTACTGGCTCCTAAACCCGAGCCGACTGCCCCATCTGGTGCTCAGCTGAAGAAACTGACCTTTTCTAACACTGGTGTAAAAACTGGCTATGTTAGAGTCTCTGCAAGATGGTGCTTGGATCTGCAGCTGTTGTGCAAATATGGACATGTATACAGTCAAGATTTCATAAATAATTTTGACCATATTTACTTGACTCTTGTCTACCAGTATATTTCATATGAAGTTAGTGAATAGTTCTTAGATTTTCTCGGTTCTTAGGGCTGCTTCCTTTGGTGTGTCGAAAGAGCCAGTGGGCCAACCAGTAGGTGCTCCTACCCCCATCATCACCATACATTGTTCTCAGAACTGCATGCAAAAGATGACGCTGATTTCGTTAAGATATCAATAAAAGCTATAACAGGCAAAGTTTTCATTTTTTAAGAAAAATCAAAAAATGTGTTTTACATGATTACTATAAAAGTCCTGAAGCACTAGGAAAATCTTTTCAGGGACCTTTGACCCAGATTTTTGTTACTAGAGTAGATAAGTATACCTCAAATAAAAAACTAGTAGTAAGTTGGAATTTGGTATGAATGTCTTCCAGTTGTCCTCTGAGAAAGTAGAGTGAGAATCGCCCTGAAGCATTTTAAGAGACCATAACCCAATACCTTCTGTATTTCCTCTCATTTTTCAGAAAACAGTGGAATAATCAAAACATTCTATAGTAGTAGCCTCATGTTTGCCAGTTTGTCTATTTTATATATTTTTAAAAAATGAAATTTATTATAGACTCTTGTGAGTCCAGAATTAATGTGGTTTTTGTTTGTTTTCTCTACTGAATTTCATTTTGATGTTTAGCGCGCGCACTGAGTCCTGGTGTAACTAGGTGTTTTTCCCCTGCTGTTTCAGTCGATTCTTATATCCTGGAAAGCATGGCAGGCTTGGAGACTTCTTCGGAGACCCCGGCAACGCTCCTTCTGAATTTAATCCCTCAGGGAGTAAAGATGGAAAATACGAGTTGTTAACAGCAGCCAATGAAGTTATTGTTGAAGAGATCAAAGATCTAATGACCAAAAGTAAGAGCTTTTTTTCCTCATTATTCCTTTGCAAATATAGTTGAATGTAGAGGTCCTTGAGGCTCAGAGTTGGAAGATTTAAGGTTCTTGATACTATCTATTTGCATTCTCTCTCTTCTCTTTTTTAAAATCATGTTCATCAAAGCCGTTGCTTTATTGCAGCATTTGACACTGTTGACCAGCCTCTGCTTCTGGAAACACTCTGGCCTCTGAGGACATCCTGTTGACCTGTTTTTCCTCTTTTTTGGGCCATTCTTTCATTTCTGACTTTTCCTTCACCTTTTCCTTTAAAATATATATATTTTTTTTCTGCTTGTTGTTTTCGTTTCTTTTCTTCCTCTGTATGTTCTCATCCACTCGTCTTTAGTTATCATTTATATATGAACACTTCCCAATCCAGCCTTTCTTTCAAGCTGCACGTTTCCAGCGGAGTGTCCCACAGTCTCATTAGCCTGCCCCAGACTAGTTTCTTTATTTTTTCCCCTCAGTTACACCGTTTCCATTCCCAATTTCTGTCATCCCCATCCATCTACTTTTCTAAATTCAAAGCTTTCATTTTTTACTCCTTTCTTCTCACATCCAACATTTAATCAGCTATGAAGTCCTATTAATTTAGTCTCAGAAGTACCTCCAAAATCTGACCCCTTATTATCTGTCATCCAGCTCCGCCGTGGGGCTGCCCTGTGCATTGGAGCATACTTAGCATCATCCTTGGCCTCGACCCATTAGATGCCATAACATCCTCCAGTTGTGACAACCAAATTTGTCTTCATATTTGAACCAAATATGAAGAACCAAATGTGTCTTCAAACTTTGCCAAATGTCCCCTGTGGGGCACAATTACAGGTCGAGGACCCTTGCTCTAGATTGTTGTAAGAGCTTCTGCTCACTGACTCCTGTCTCTCTCCATTCAGGTTTTTCCCCTCAGCCTCTAGGCTTAACGTCCTAAAAATCAAAGCTGCTCTTCCCCGGCGTAAAGGCTTTTACTGGGTCCCTGTTGCCTGCAGGCAGTGGTTTCAAACTGTAGCCTGTGTCAGCATCACCTGGGGGGAAAAGGCAACTCTTTAGCCACAGAAAGTGGGTTAGCGGGTTCCGGGGCTGGGGAGGAGCAGGGAGTGATGGCCTGGGCCCAAGTGATCTTTTGGGGTGAGGGAAATGTTCTGAAATTGGATTGTAGTGATGGTTTACAATTCTATAAATTTACTAGAAATCATTGAATTGTGCACCTAAAAGGAATGAATTTTATGATCTGTAAATTATACCCCAATAAAGCTCTTAAAAATCACCTGGAGGGCTTGTTAACACAAAATGCTGGGCCCCACTCTGTGGTTTCTGATTCAGTGGGTTTAGGGTGGTCCCAAGAATTTGTGTTCTATTGAGTTCCCAGGTGATGCTCCTGCAGCTACAGGGGTCCAGAGCCACCCTTTGAGAACCACTGGCCTCCAGGGTAAAGTCCCAGCCTCTTGGTGCGGTGGTCAAGACCTTTCCTGGTCTGCCCTCGCCAGTGGGGTGTCAGTGCTCCTGGACCAGCTGCAGGCCCTGTTCCCACAGGGGGTCCATCTGCCTTCCCCCCTCTTCAGCTGCTGGTTTAGGATTTTGATTTTCTTTTTTTTTTTTTTTTTTTTTTTTTTAAGATTTTATTTTTTCCTTTTTCTCCCTAAAGCCCCCCCGGTACATAGTTGTGTATTCTTCTAGTTGTGGCATGTGGGACGCTGCCTCAGCGTGGTCTGATGAGCAGTGCCATGTCCGCGCCCAGGATTCGAACTAACGAAACACTGGGCCGCCTGCAGCGGAGCGCGCGAACTTAACCACTCGGCCACGGGGCCAGCCCCGGATTTTGATTTTCTTAAGAGTGAGTTTTTTTCACACAAGACTCCAAAAATTTGCAAACTTCATCCCTACTTGCCACAGCCAGAGGAGTTTCTCCAGTCCTCCTTCGCTGGCCTGGCAGCTCTCTGAGTGGGGTGGGGGAAGGAGGAGGTGGGAAAGGGCTGACAGGGAGGCTCAGCCTGGCCAGGGGCCACTGTGTAGGCTGCCTGCAGTTACACATGACCTTCTGCACCATTTAGATCATTGATAAGCCTGAACCTTTCCAAATGACACCAGGATGTTTTTTGTTATTTATTTTTTATTGTGGTAAAATATACATAACATAAAATTTACCATTTTAATAATTTTTAGGTGTCCAGTTCGGGGCATTAAATATGTTCACGTTGTTGTGTAAACATCACCACACTCCATTCCTGAACTTTTTCATCACCCCAAAGTGAAATTCTGTCCCTATTAAACAACAACTCCCTATTCCCCACCTTAGCCCCTGACCACCAGGATATTTTAAATTGAGTAAATTGCTTATTTAAGCATTACTGAGAAGAAATTGCTATCTATGGTTTTAAACCCAGTTTGAAAATATCTGATTTCATTCATGAAGAATACTTTGGTTTGAAAATTTTAGTTCAAGAAAATACCTAACAATTCCCTTTTTAATGTTTTTTATTATTTGTAGGTGACATAAAGGGTCAGCATACAGAAACTCTGCTGGCAGGATCCCTCGCCAAAGCTCTTTGCTGTATCCTTGGTGTTGAATCCTTCAGAAGGCGTCTTCTGTAATAAACGTATCTTGGGATATTTCTTAGAACCTCGGATGCCCATATTGATGAAGGCATGAGTATTCTAAAGTGGTGAGGAATCAAAAAGGAGTTTATCTTGGCTTTGAAACGTTTTTAAGATAAGCTGTGAGAACTTGAAATGGGAAGAATGTGAAGACGTCTAGTTTCTCCAGTATGTCCTGCTCACAGTGAATTCTTCACAATGCTTACTTGTTTCTTGTTTTGACAAATTGTAGAGATTCCCGCCCCCCCCCCCCCTTCCTTGAGTTGGGAGAGTGTTTGATTATAAAAGCATTTACTGACCCTGAGGCTTAATAAATGAGTGGCTGTTTCTCCACAGGCCAGCAGGTTATTTTGTAGTTAGCAGAGTCAACCACACTTTCCTAAGCATTTTGACGTTAACCCTGTTTGTGGATGGTCTCCCAGTCTTATGTAATTTACCGTGTGTGTTTTGGACAGTGCTCAATGACTCCTCTGTCTTAGGCTTTGGTTGGGGTGCCGGATCATCTGTGTATGGTTTTCAAATTCGTTACCCGTTTGATCGGCTTACTGATTTACTTGTGGTCCCAGTATTCAAATCTAGGACATGGTGGATAATGATAGAACAATCAGATCTTGGTAATTTTAATTTTCTGGGACAAAGATCATCTTTTGGTCAGGTTACAAGCCCAGTTGATTGCAGAGTCAGTAATTGGAAACCTGCAGTCACTCTTGTTTTGTATGTTTATCATAGGAAACAGCATTTCCTTTTTCAACTAGGTGGATGCTGGGTTTATTTAACTAAAATGTGAGGTTATTTTTTTGTTTACTATAAATATTTATGAAATTAAATAATATTTTTAAATTCCTTAATGCTAAGAAATAAGACATTCATAGAATGAACAAGGAGGTTAAAGGTAGGAGCCTGCTTTTTTTATGAGAATTTAATTCTTATTTTACAACTGTAAGTTTGGTGGACTATCTAAAAATTGGTTAGAAAAATCTAATAATATGTTTAATAAGATTCAGTTAAATTTAAATCTGTTTTTATCTCTTTATAGATAATCAGGAAATGAAATCAAGGATATTGGTAAGATTAAAAAAGCAATATTATGTTTATAGACTATCACCAATTAGAAAACATAAGAAATAAGACCCATTTCTAATAGAAGCAATAAATATTAAGTATCTAGAATTAATTTAACAAGCAATATGTAAAACTGATTATGATGAAAAACTGTAATTCTGAGAGACATAAAAGAATAAATGGAGAGCCTTATTTTATTCTTGGGTGTCAATTTTTCTAAAATTAAACTGTAAATTCATTGCAATTTCAGTCAGAATGTCAGTGAGACTTTTTTTCTGGCAGAGTTGGGAGATTTAAAAAGAAATTCACCAGTTTGTCTGGAAGAATAATTCAATGAGAATAGCCAAGAACTTTCTGAAAGAGAATAATGAGTAGGCACTTGCTCCTTTAGGCATTAAAACACGTTATAAAGCCACAGTAACTGGTTTTGGTACAGTAGTAGGCAAACAGAAAATGGAAAAGACTAGAGTCCAGAAATAAAACCGGGTACACAGGGGAGTTTGGTTTCTGACACAGGAAGTACTTTAAATTAATGGGAAGAAAATGGATTATTCATAAAAGGTGCTCGGCCAACTGGTTGGCTATTTGGGGGAAAACTGCCAGATCCCCATCTCACTGCTGACACCTGATACAGTCTAGTAAAGATCAGACATTTCCATGTGAAAATTCAGGACCTAAAAGCTCTGAAAGAAAATACCTGTTTGTAATCTTGGGATGGTGAGTACCTTGCTAAGCATGATGTGAAACTTTAAAGGAAAGCTTAAGACCTCAAAAAAATAAAACCCCAAGACAGGAATGAAAGGAAAACTCTTAGGAAAAGTGGAGGGTACTCATTATAGCATTGTCTAAAACTGGGGATTGGAAACTGCTACGTGTCTGCTGTACACAACTGGCTACATCCACGAAGTCAGCACGAAGGTTGATACGTCCAGATTCACTGACGTAAGATTTTCCCCCAGATGTTGTAGACTGAAAAAGGAGGTTGCAGAACACTAGATAGAGTGTCGTCCCTCTGTGTGTGCGTGTGTTGGGTGTGAGTGGACATATGTGCTCACATACGTGCTCTCTAGAAGGACCTCCATCAAGCTATTGATAAGGATTATCTCTTGAGTGGTAGGATTTGGGGGAAATTTTTACAGTCATCTTTACACTTTTAGGTATTATTTAATGATACTAACTAGGAATTAAATTAGAAAAATAATATTGGTTGTGGTTTGCAGTAGATTGTGATGACATGTGAGTGAGAACACTAGGGTGTGCCTGCAAGTGTTAACATGGATGTGATTATCAGGTGATAAAGGCTGCAGAAGACACCGCATTGCAGTATATGAACTTCATGAATGTCATCTTCGCAGCACAGAAACAGGTGAATTGAGAGCATTCTTTTTAAAGAATATTTGTTTCATAATGAATTAATTTCATTTTCTGGATGACCTACTTAGAGAGGTATTCTGACTAAATGGCCTTATTAAAGGATTAGAATCTAGAATCTACATTTTGTACTAGTCATTTCCCTATTTTGGGTCCTGGACCCCATGAGAATCTGATGGGTCCCCAGAAGACCGCACTGAAACACAGTTTTGCATATGGCCTCCTGGTATTCCTGTAACCCCATTTAGCCCCTCCTCAGAGCCCAGGCCGAGCATCCCTGCTTTTACAGTTCGCTGCATACCTTGCGTCAGTTTCTCTCTTTACTCTAGTGAGTTCTTGCAAAGATTCGATGTTTTTACTTTGCAAATAATTGAAATGTTCAGAGGAATTATCACTAATACATTTTCTTCTTTAACATGTTAAAAAAAAACCCTTTCTTAAAACTTGAGTTTTAACCTAAAATGCTGCTGTAGCCATGCAAAGTATTCTCCATCTTAGAGTGGCAGCATGATGTGGTGAAAAACCCTGGGCTTTGAGGACTGGGAGACTGCGGCTGACAGCACTGCCTCCCCCTGGCACTGTGACCACAGCCTGGCCAAGGCCTGCGTGCTTCACTGTAAAATGCAAATCAAATATTTACCGTGCAGAGTTTATCGTGCATATTAAATATGCCATTTTGAGAATAGAGTCTGGCATATAGTAGGTTCTCAGTGTAAGATAGTCACAATTGTTACTATTCCTGTAATATCTTTGGAATGTTCATTTCAGAATATTTTGATCGATGCCTGTGTTTTAGACTCCGATTCAGGACTCCTCCAACAGGTATGTTTTCAGCGAATGCTGGGCGTTGGCGGTTACGAAAGTAGGCTGTGCTCTGTTGCCTGTTACGTGCTTTTCACCAGTCTTCACACGTTGTTAGGAAGTAGCCTGTATGATGCGGTAGATTAGAGCACTGACATCTCTCTAGTCCCTTTCAAATTTTTATTTATATTTTACATAACAACTTGAATGACTTTGTAAAAGTAATTCACACATTAAAACAAATTCAAGCAACACAGAAAAGTGTTTTTAAAAAGGGTAGAAAAAAAAGATCCCTTCAAATGCTATCATCTAAAAGTTACCATTGTTAATGTTAGATAAACAGCATGACCAATCTCTCTGTCTACTTCCAGATGGAAGAACAGATCGCTGAGCAGAGAATGTCGTCACAATAGAATCATGCTCTAGATCTGTGCTGTCCTATAAGTAGTCGTATTGAGCTCTTCAAATAAGTCTCGTCTGAATTGAGATGTGCCATAGGTATAAAATACACACTGAATTGCAAAGACTTAGTATCAAGAACAGAATGTAAAGTGTCTCATTAATTATTTTTATATTGATTACATGTTAAAATGATAATACTTTGAATATATTGCTAAATAGAATGTTATTAAAATTAATTTTATCTGTTCCTTTTTTATGCAGCTAGAAAATTTAAAATTACGTATGTTGCTTGCATTGTATTTCTGTTGGACAGCAGCATTAAATGTTGCTTTTTAACCAAATGTATGAAACTGAAATTTAATTTAACCAAAAATGGGAAAAAACCTGAAACTAAGACTGAAGAAATTACCGAACTTTAAATGTTTTTTGACCACAAGAAATATTATTTCCTAAAAGATGAGTTAGAAGCACAAAATTGGAAATCCCTGAGTTTAGGTTACTGCTGGGGATGAGGAGTGGGAAAGGGAGAGAGAGAACCAGAAAAGTACACGGCGCCAGAGATTCTGGGCTTGTCCTGTTTCTTACGCTTGATGGTAGGTACACGCTGTTTGTTGGGAATGTAAAGTGGTACAGCCTACTTGGAAAACAGCCTGAAACTTCTTCAGAAAGTTAAACACAGGGGCTGGCCCGGTGGCGCAGCAGTTAAGTTTGCATGTTCCGCTTCTCGGCGGCCCGGGGTTTGCCTGTTCGGATCCTGGGTACGGACATGGCACCGCTTAGCAGGCCATGCTATGGTAGGCGTCGCCCATATAAAGTAGAGGAAGATGGGCATGGATGTTAGCTCAGGGCCAGGCTTCCTCAGCAAAAAGAGGAGGACCGGCAGTAGTTAGCTCGGGGCTAATCTTCCTCAGAAAAAAAGAAGAAAGTTGAACACAGAATTACCATGTGACCCAGCAATTCCATTCTTAGATACACATCCAAGAGAAAATGAAAATGTGTCCACACAAAAAATTGTATGTGAATATTCCTAGCCATGTGATTCTTAATAGCAAAAAAATGGAATTCAAATGTCCGTCAACAGATGAATGGATAAAGAAATGGTGGTCTGTCCATACACTGGAATATTATTTGGTCACAAAGGAACGAAGTACTGATTCATGCTACAACATGGATGAACTTGAAAAACATTGTGCTAAATGACAGAAGCTAGATACAAAAGGACACAGTTGTGTGATTCCATTTATATGAAATGTCCAGAATAGGCAAATCTGTAGAGACAGAAAGCAGATTAGTGTTCGCCAGGGGCTGGGGAAGGAGGGATAGAGAGCGACTGATTAATGAGTATAGTTTCCTTTTGGGTTGATGAGGATGTTCTGGAACCTAGATAGTGGTGACAGTTGCACAACTCTGTGAATATACGAAAACCTAGGGAATTGTACACTTTAAAAGGGTGAATTTTATGGCATGTGAATTATATCCCAAAGCTGTTATTAAAAAATATAATGAAAATGAATAAACATGGCAAGAATGAAAATTTATCAGTAGCAAAAAAACAGGAGAAAGAGCGTACACTGTCCTGTGCTACAGTCTTCAAGGGGGCAAGGGTGTTGGCCGGGGGGAAATAAGATCTTTGAACATCTTGAGATGCAGCTGGAAGTTTCTGGTCCTTACTCACTCTGGGAAAACCTTCCCTTTTAATTTGCTCTCAAATCCACCTCTCCTTTTAGAGACCTGAAGACGTGCAGGGGAGACGTAAGTCCCTCTGGGAAACCTCAGTAAGTGCTGGTTTGGCAGAGAGCCCTTCTGTATCTTGCAGGCTTGTGACATCACAGGGGGACTGTACCTGAAGGTGCCTCAGATGCCCTCCCTCCTGCAGTATTTACTGGTAAGGAAACGTCCGCAGTGAACCTAACATGGTAGAGTGAGACCCCTGTTTCCTGGGGAGTGAGTGCGCACGATGGCTGATGTTAGTGATTGGAAGAAAGGAGGAAGTGGGTGACCTGAGGTTTCGAAGCTGTGAAGGTGGACTTCAGGTGGTTGGTCTTTGAACCCTGTGAGCTGTATGCAGAGTGTCATCTGACTGTTACAGAACAGTGCCTGTATGTGTGGGTGCTCAGTAATTGTTGAATGAATAAATGTGCAGTTCTCAGTAGACATTTAAGAAAAATCCTAATTTAGTATTCTCCTTAGTATTGACTGACTAATATCTGATATCTGTGTCCTGACTTCTGTTATTTTCCATGTTTTAAATAAAAACTCCTTGCTCTTTTTTCTTTTACAGTGGGTTTTTCTTCCTGATCAAGATCAGAGGTCTCAGTTAATCCTCCCACCCCCAATTCATGTTGACTACCGGGCTGCTTGCTTCTGTCATCGAAATCTCATTGAAATTGGCTATGTCTGTTCTGTGTGCTTGTCAAGTAAGTTCATTTACTGGATCTTTCTCTTTTTCTGTATGGGGGGCGGGGAGCAGAAAATACCTCAACTGTGTGGTTTTTAAACCATCTCGTTTGTTTTCTGTTTTTTAAATTTACAGTATTCTGCAATTTTAGCCCTATCTGCACTACGTGCGAGTAAGTATCTTTGAGGTTGTGTGGCCGCCTCACCCTTTAGAGATTCAGAGCATTAAAAAGTGTTTTCCTGTCTCATTCCAGGACAGCCTTTAAGATTTCTCTACCTCCCGTACTGAAGGCCAAGAAAAAGAAACTGAAAGTGTCTGCATGATAATAAAAAATTTCCCCCCATCCTTTAGAGCTATTAACAGAAATCGTATGGCGGAATCTTTGTTGGAAAGGCTCTGAAAAAAATACGGATGTGTGTAAGATAATTTTTAATGAAATTTCTTACAAGAAATATTTCTAAAACCTCATCCTCATCTTGTGCTTCTCGGGGACTGATTTATTTGAGGGAGTCATTCTATGTGATATATCCTGAAATCTTTTCTGACTGGTTTTTGTCCAGAAAGGAGGAAGAAAGCAGCACTCTATGGCTTTTTTTAATGGGATGATGGCTCGTCAGTGAGTCCTGACTGACTGTAGGCTGTCAAACATGCTCCCCAAGGCCAGGTGCTTCCTGTGGCACACTCGGCATGTGAGATTGGAGCACAGGCTTGGAAAGAGTGGCTGTTTATGCAGTAATGGCATTAATCAACATAGAACATCTTCCTTGAATCAGCAGTTAACTTTGACAATAGTCATGTAGATAAAATCCTTATTTTCTAAATTGAGATTTAACTGCAGGTGTTAGCACATAGTTACTGTTTCGTTTGACATCACTACTTGTTTGGACAAAGTTATGCAAATAATAATAATTTGTCAACTGAATAACTACAAAATCTGACTTTAAATGAGTGAGGAGAGTGAGTGCAGTAGTCTGGTAGCAACTTTTTCTTCAAAAACCTTTGTGTGACGAGGTTACTTGTGAAAGCTAACGTTTGAGTTCAGAGGGGGAATTTCCCAGGGGGAATGGATTCTTTACAGCTAAGTGTAGCCCCCAGATAGAATTCTTTCCTTTTTTAATGAGGGGAGGGGAAGTGTTAATATTGGAGAACTGCTCTCTAGAAGCTTTGGACTTCATACTGAAAACTTCTGTAAGTTCAAAAGAAAAATTATGTGTAATTTCAATAATAAAAAACTTATTTTTCTGTGTAATCTTGAAGTTATTAAAAGTCCTTTTAGGGCCAGCACCATGGTCTAGTGGTTAAGTTTGGCGCGTTCTGCTTTGGCATCCCGGGTTCACGGGTTCAGATCCCAGGCACAGACCTACACCACTTGTCAGCCATGCTGTGGTGGGGACCCACATACAAAATAGAGGAAGACTGGCACAGATGTTAGCTCAGGGCCAATCTTCCTCAAGCAAAAAAAAAGTCCTTTTAAATTCCAGCATATTGTAGGAAGGGTTTTCAAGAATGGTCACTGATTTGGTTTGTTTTTAAAAGTATATTGACAAAAACCTATTTGTGTACACAACCTTGTATGTAAATAGATTTTAATTTTCTCTTTATAGTATCTCAGAAGCTGAGTCTCATTTAAATAATTTGGTGTTTGGTTAGATTATTTCAGGTAGATTTTGTATTCTGGATTTACAATTTTGTTAAATACACAAAAATTTTCGTGATTACTTTGCAAGTATTTGTTAATCCTAGAGTTTGAGAATCTTTGAAAAATAATGTTTAATATTTCATAGCCTAATTAAGTAATGGAAATAATTATTTTAAGTCTAGGAAATAAAGCATCATATATCTAAAAAATGAAATATTTTAAACAAGCTGAGAAGGTTATTATTACTTTTCCATTTGAAATGTTTTATGTACTGTCTTAGTTCTGTTTGTTTTATTTGTAACTGTTATGTTTATGGTTTATTTTATATAAATTTTTATAATAAAATAAATTTTCATATTTGCTTGAGTTATTTCCTCTCACTCGTTTGTTTCATGCTCATTCAATTTCATCTTTAAGTGTGTACTTTTTAACTGGATTTGGTCAAATGCCAGACAATTTTTATTCAACTCTGAAGAACTTTAATTTCAAATCTTGCCAAACTATACATGAAAATATTGTTACATATAGTATATAATAATATATTATTATGATATATTGAATACAAGATTTCTAAGTATGAAAGTATTAGAAGAAAGATTTGATGTTTGCTTGTAATTTTATGTTGGGAGCAAGATTAGCAAAATTTCAATTATTTGGAACTTTCATTGAATAAAGCAGGCTGGTTTTAAGGTGTAATGTATGTTTTGACGTCAGAAAAATTGGTCGCTTTCTTATCTCATAGAAAATTTCAAAACCATTAAATTATTCTGTAGAGTAAATAGTTAAATAGTTACCAATATGCAACCTTCTGTTCTAAAGGCAGTCCCTTGGGCTTTATCTAAGGGATTCCTGCTCTGTTGCTTTTTAAAAAAAAGTTACTTTGTTTATTTCAGATAATCCAAACTGATTTGTAAGAGTGTTAGTAATTCCCAGAAGACCGCATGGAATGTTTTCAGAAGTAGGGGAGAGGAGAGTAAATACACCAATGACATTTCTATATAAGAAGTACAATATTTAAAAATCAAGACTTTACATTGATAGTTGAAGTTTTATGCCTACATTTTATATTAATAGAAATGATCACAAAGAATTTTAAGAAAAATTAACGGTAATTGATTTTTAATAATAGAACTTCAAAAATAGCACTTTTTACTTTTGAAACGTCCTTTTTGACTTTGAGAATTCCATAGTTCATTTCACTACTGGTTGAATAGCTTATTACAACTAAAAGCAGGAAAGTAAAGCATACTTTTTAATAAGTACTTCTTTTTCTGATTACAACAGAAAATGATTACATGCTTTCTGAAGAAAAGAACATTCACAAAAGTAGAGGGAAAATCCACTTTCATCACTCCCCCCACCGTGCCCTGGAGTTGGGGGGTGGGGTGGAAAGTCACTTATTAATATTTGGTGCACTTCTTTACCACAGCAGATGTCACATCTGGACGTGTTGACAGGATTCAGATCTGTTGTCTGGTAAATGAAAGGGTGGGTTTCAATTAACCTAAGAAAAAAGATTTATATTTTGACTGTCTGACAAATGATATCTGCCAATACAGGTAACTATGGTACTAATGATGTCTACTTAAAATGCATGACAACAGTGAGAGTGTAAAGGTCTAGAAAAGTGGAACTCAGTGAAAATATGGATTTACAGTACCTTTAAAATACCCCATGACCATTAGTATTTGCGTAAATTACTTTACGTTTTACCTAAAGGTAAAAGCATTTTGACCTAAGGTCAGACTCCCTTCAGAATGTGAGATTTGCTGATCAATTAATATATAACTAAACAGAAAGAGTAATAATGGCCAACATTGCTTTGGCGTTTGCTGTTTGCCAGGCATGGTGTGGTTCTCTCAGTTAATTGGCACACCCCTCCTCTGATAGTTAACACGAGTGAACATTTATCCAGTGCTTACTGTACACCAGCGCTGGCCTAAACCCATGAGGTATGTTACCCACAGAATCCTGTTCGGGAGGGACTCGTCTTACCCCTTTTTGTCAATGAGGCAACTCAAGCTTAGAGAGGTTAAGCAACTTGCCTGAAGTCACTTAGCGTGGAGGGAAGTCAAAATCCTAAAGTCAGAGCCTGCACTCCTAGTCACCGAACTATAATAACGCTGGAAAAGCTTTGAGGCTACTGACATCAGAAAAATGAAATTTTCTCCAGGTAGAATTCTGATAACTTGTGCATCTGTCCTGATGCCGGGCAAAAAACCTTTTGTGGGTTCTTCGATAAGATCTGCTTTCAGAGTGCTGAGAGTTAAAAAAACAAAACAAAACAAAAAAACCTTCAAAAAACTGCGAGAATAATCAAAACAATTCAGCGCTGCAATCATAGCCCGGCAGCCTCACCCTCTTTTTGTCCCTCACCCCCAAAACCCCATAAAAACCAAGTTTATGAAGGCGTTGGTCTGGAAGCCAGTGCCTTAGGTAAGCTCTTGAAGTGCGATCGAATTAACTGTACGGCGGGGGAACTCCACTTCTTAACTGGGACGCGGACGCCCACTTTTTCGTGACGCTGCAGATGGAGTGAAGGAACCCCGAGGACTCAAGACCTGTGGGCGGGGCTGGGATGCTGCGCCGGGGCGGGGGCGGGCTCTCTCTGCCGCTGGCCCAATCACGGCGCACCGCTCCTCCTGGCTGCTCGCCGATTGGTTGTTGCCATAGCTCCGGGCGTTCGCTTGACAAGATGGCGGCGGCGCGGCAGCCAGGGCCGCGTTTTGGCGTCTGGGCGATTCCCGGCTTCTGAGGCGCGCGCGGTTTTGTCGCGCCGGCCCACCGAGGCCCAGGGATGGGCTTGTCGCCGCCGGCCCCTCTGCTTTTGGGGCTCCTCCTGCTGCAGGGCGTCGTGAGGCCGCTGTGGGGGGACCTGGGTATGTATGGCGGGACAGGGACTGCAGGGCCGGGCTGCGGGGATGAGGCCTGGAAGGGGCCAGGCTCGGACTCCTCCGGGAGCTCTGGAAGACACCGCCAACGAAAGCCACCGCACAGCTCCGGCAGGGGCTCTGCAGCCATTAACTCCTCCCTGTCCCCTTCCTTCCCGCCTAGTTTTCATCCCGTCTGTCATCCGCATGTCCGGCCCTGCGGTCAGCGCGTCCCTGGTCGGAGGCACCGAGGATGTGACCGTGTCCCTGGCCCTGCTGCAGGACGCGGAGGGTAAAGAGTCCGGCCCCGCCTATGGGAGCGTGGGGTTGGGCCGGGTCCAGGCCGCCCAGGGGAGCCTGGCGAGGGGGCATCCTGGGGGCCCCTGCCGCTGTCCCCTGCAAAGTCGGGATGGGGAGGATGGATGGGGGCGCTGCTCTGGACCAAAGAGCGCCGACGGACAGCTTCGATAAAAGAAAGCTTGAAAGCATAATGGCTTGCATTCATTGAGCTGTCCCCTGTGCTTAAATGCGACTCCTCATTTTCCTAAGAACAGTAATATCTTTTAATCCCATTTGACAAGTGAAGACACTGAAGTTCAGACAGGTTGTCACTTATGCAAGGTCACACAGCTCATAAAGGGCGCAGTCCTAGGGTCGGAAAGGGATGGATTCCATCCTAGGGAGCCTGACTCAAGAGCGCACCGCCTTAGCTGCTGCCTTGCGTTCTCCTTTTCTCTCCCGCAGGATTATTGCCAGTTCCTTCTTGTGGAGTGCTGAGCAATGAGACCGGGGACTGGAGTTTGACGGTGACGCCCAGAGTGGTAAGGCTTCTCAGTGGCATCTGTGGAGCCCCACCTTTAGTGTTTCTGCAGTGCTCTCTTGATTGGACAAGATACAGCTTTCTCCGTGCTCAGAACTACCGTGAAACTGTGGGCCATCGGATCCAGTAGGCAGCCATCCAGCCCAGAGGCTCTTACCCTAAGGTTAAGGGTCCTTGGATGAGTGTCAAGAAGTCTGTGAACTCTCTGAAATTGTGTGTAAAATTACGTGTGTGTGCATTTTTCTGATGAGATGGTTGCCAGCTTCCGTCAGATTATCAAATGGTCTGTGACTCAGAAAAACTTCATAAACCGCTGGTCTCACCCAACTCTGAGCTTATGTGTAAGGACGCTCAAGCCCGGAGAGGTTAAATAGCTCCCGTTTCATGTTTTATTGAGAGGCTAGTATGTGCAAGGCATCCACTCGGGAGATAAAGGATGAGAAAGACAGACTTTGCTTGCACTGCAGGAATGGGATTTTTTTAATTGACTTTTTTTGTGTGTGTATTTAATCTTCTGCTGGTAGGATGATAAAGAATCTAAAATGGTGCTAGCAAAGTGAATTAATTTATCAGACCTGTGTTTAGCTTTCTCTAAGTATCCAAAAGTTGTGTGTTTTTCTGTTAAATGGAGGATTAGGAACCAGGGCTTGCGTATTGCCATAGGTTTACAGGGTGGAATTGAACAGAATTATGTCACCTTTGTACACAGTTCTCCTTTTGTAGAATGAACGGAGACTGATGTGTGCCTTTATCATGTTTTCCGTAGTGTGTTGTTATAGATGCTGTTTTGCGTCACCGTAAAAAGTACCGCAATGTTTTCCTTTCAGGATTCATTGGAAGTGACAGTGAGGTTGAAGAGGGATCTGCAATGGTGTGCCTCTAATGAGACAGACTCCTTCTCAGAGTCCCCATGTATTGTCCAAACTCTTCTGGTTTCAGCATCTCACAATTCATCCTGTTTAGCACATCTACTCATTCAAGTGGAAATTTACGCCAACTCTTCTCTGGCCCATAATGCGTCAGGCAAGTAAAGTATCTGACTATCAAAACATTCATGTCAAGTGTTATCTGTCTGATTGTAAGTGTATACCGTGCCATTTTGTGTACTTCACTCTTGTCTGTCTTGCCTTCTTAAACTTATTTTCCTTTTGTTTAGTTGTCTTATTTTAAAAGTTTTCACTTTGTCCTATTTTACTTAATTAAGATTTATTTTATCTTGCTCTACTCTTTGGATCTTTGTAAGCCACCTTAAATCCATTTTGGGAGAAGGCGAAATTTGTTTCTTTGTATTGATTCCTTTAATTCCATCTTAAAACAAAACAAAGCACCCTCCCCATCCCCCCCCCCCAAACCAAAGGGAAGGGAAAGGTTCATGAATGAGTTTGTAGAAAAACAGCAGATTTTCAGTCGAAGTTTTTGATCTCCAGCTCCCTTTTCCAAAGGCAGTCTGTTAGCTTATGCTTATAGAACCAAGTATTCCTGTCTTTAAAAACAAACACAATAATAACATGATTTGCTATTCTGTATCTTTTTAAAAATAATATAACTTAGAGATTGTTCCATATGAATAGGTTTGCCTCATTCTTTTTAATAGCTGCATAGTATTCCCTTGTGTGGATATACTGTTGTTTATTTAGCTAGTCTCTTAGTGATTGAATGTAAGCCATTTCTAGCTTTTGATACTGTAACTAGTACTACAGCAGACATCCTTGTGCACATGCATCTTTGGACATGAGAACGTGGTTTTGTATTTTTCTCCCTTTCACATAAGGGCAGTGTTCTTAGAACAAAAGATGGGCTGATGTGGAGGGGTCTCCCATCATGGTGTCACCACCTTGTTCTCTGTTCCAAACTCTGGCATCTCTTGCATTCACAGGCACCTGGGATGAAGGAATAAGCATTTCTCTTAATAACAAAGGTCTGTCACTTTGACATTCCCACACTCTCACTTCCCTTATCACATCCCCTAACTGCAGTCCTCCTGGTTTTGGCAGTGTAGGAGGTTTAGACGAGTTATGATGGTGCCATTCTGTGGGCTACTCTGCCCTTAGTGTATTTGACAGGAAGATCTGAAGATGTATTGCTAAGAGTGAAAAGCAGATGCCGGTGGCTGCATATAGCATGGAATAAGAATCCATATTTATATTTGCATAAAGGAATTCTGGAAGGCTGTCTGAAAGCTAACATGGTGCCACTGGATTGGGGGTGACTGGGAACAGGAAAGGGCTGTGAATGAGGACTTTGACTGTGTGCCTTTTTAAATATCCTTTTGATTTTTTTGAACTGTGTGACTCTATTACCTATTTAAAAGTTTAAAATTTTGTTTTTAGAAGAAAAAATATTTTCTAATGTTTAAAATTCAAAACAAACCAAGAAATATTCCGTGGATGCTTAAAAAATCAACAGGAGGGATTAATGGTAGCTATACCAATCAAAGCAGTGACTTTTTCTTTTAAAAAATATGGTTGACTATATTTAGGTAATGTTTCAGAATGTCTTTGTACAAATAGACTTAGGAAAATTATAGTCTTTGTATATGGTAACTGTGAGATGTCTGCTCTGACCCCATGAAGGTGTGAAAAGTTTTGCACCCAGTCAGACAGAGATCAGAACAAGAAAAAGGATGGAAGGACAGACAGGAGGTATGTGGTCTGCCTAGTAAGAGCGAAGCTAGCAAACAATGGAGGAGTCATATAGATAGATGCGCAGTCATCTATCTGTATATCATGTAGTAAAACCCTATCCTGAAATGCCTTGCTTATGTCACACGGGGTTGATTCTCCTGAGGGTCAGACCCTTGTAACATGCTGTGTTACTTGGACCTTCTCTTTGTTGCTGATACCGTTGCCATACTAGGGTTCTACTATATTATAGCATAGAATATATAATTAGTTGTTGTTTAGATGCTTCAGCTGTCATGTCACTAAAGTTAATTGTTACATAGAGTTTAAAGAACTAATCGCTACATAGTTTTTTAACATGTCCTGAGTCCTGGGACGAAAGTAAAATTTGGCAGACTGAAACTTTTATCTGATAAATTATCGCATAGAAGCTAGAAACATTAGTCTCTGGATTCTGAGTTAGGAGGCTGAAATGTAATGTAACATATTCCTTTTCCAATCAATGTAAAAATTACTCATTTCCCCCACACTTGAACTAGAATCAGGATGTGAAGATTTCAGTTTATAGTGTGCTGGACCTTGAGGTTGAGCACATAACGTAATTAAATATGGTCTTGTGGTCAGATGGGTTCCACATAAGCTGTCTGAAATGTCACCATGGCTTCAGTTTTGTCTGCTGAAAGAGGTAATGAGTTTGAAGAAGTACATGCTTGATATCAGTCTGTGTTATGAAAAGGGTTGTTCAGTGTATTGAAAAATAAAATCAGTGTATTACATTTATCCAACTTGTAAATTTTACCTGCTTGATTACCTTCAAGATCGCCTGTAACTTTTTTGGTTTGATATAACTTGTGCATTTTCTTTTTTTTTTTTTTAATTTTATTTTATTTTTTCCTTTTTCTCCCCAAAGCCCCCCGGTACATAGTTGTATATTCTTCATTGTGGGTCCTTCTAGTTGTGGCATGTGGGACGCTGCCTCAGCGTGGTTTGAAGAGCAGTGCCATGTCTGCGCCCAGGACTCGAACCAACGAAACACTGGGCCGCCTGCAGCGGAGCGCGCAAACTTAACCACTCGGCCACGGGGCCAGCCCCTGCATTTTCTTATGTTTGGGTTTTTGTTGGAGTAGTAGATATAGGCCTCAGGTGTGTTTTATACATAGCTCATTTCAGATATTCCTTAATGTGGAATATTTGGTAACGGTGGTTGTAAAACAATGATTCAGCTTTCTTTTGCATGTCACTAATGTGGCAATGCTTTGCAGAGTGTTTCATAGCAAACTTTTCTGTTGTTTGTACTTTTCAGAGAACGTGACTGTTATTCCTAACCAGGTGTATCAGCCCCTTGGTCCTTGTCCCTGTAATTTAACAGCTGGGGCCTGTGATGTTCGCTGCTGCTGTGACCAGGTACGCTCTCTCCAATTATTGGATACAAAAGTTATGGTACCCAGGGGCCGGCCCCGTGGCCAAGTGGTCGGGTTCATGCACTCCACTTCGGCAGCCCAGGGTTTCGACGGTTTGGACCCTGGGAATGGACATGGCACTGCTCATCAGGCCATGTTGAGGCGGCATCCCACATGCCACAACTAGAAGGACCCACAGCTAGAATATACAGCTATGAACTGGGGGGATTTGGGGAGAAAAAGCAAAAAAGAGGAAGAAGATTGGCAACAGTTGGTAGCTCAGGTGCCAATCTTTAAAAAAAAAAAAAATATCATGGTACCCAATAGCTTGTGAAGAGCACCAACAGTTCCCCGCCAACAGATTTTTAATAGATGGTCTTTCAAAACTGAAATTGTGTTTTGTATTGCAAATTGTTTTCAAATTGAGTATTTTCTTATGTAGCATTGTCAGTCTAGTTTATGGAAGAAAAAACTGTATTTCTTTGGATAAAGTTATGATTGTGATGATTATACTGAGAGGATGGTTTTAATATCTTATTTAGAAGCCTTTAAGAAAATCTAAAAAGGAAAGAAAATACACTTTTTCAATGATTTTTAGTAAATTTATAGAGGTGTGCAATCATCACAACAATCTAATTTTAGACCATTTTCATCATCCCAGAAAGAAACCGTGTCCCCATTTGCAGTCGTTGCCATTCCTGCGCCCCATCCCCGGGCCGCTGTTAATCTGCTCTCTGTCTCTATGGATTTGCCTGTTCTGGGGATTTCATATCTATGGAGTCGTACAGGATGTGGCCTTTTGTGTCTAGTTTCTTTCACTCAGCATCATGTTTTCAAGGGTCACCCATGTTGTGGCAGGTGTCAGTGCTTCATCCCTTTTCATGGCTGAATCATATTCATTGTATGGATGAATTCATTGTATCACATGTTGCTTATCCATTTCTCAGTTGTTGGACATTTGAGCTGTTTTCATTTTTTGGCTATTATGAGCATTTGTGTACAAGTTTTTGTTTGGGTGTGTTTCCCTTTCTCTTGGGTATATTACCTGGGAGTAGAATTCATCCGTCATATGGTGAGTGTTTGTTTAACCTTTTGAGGAACTGTTTTCCACAGCGGCTGCCCCATTTTCCGTTCTCACCAGCAGTGGAGGAGGGTTGAATTTTCCATGTCCTCACCAACGGTTGTCATGATAATCTCTTTGATTGTAGCCGTCCTAGGGAGTGTGAAGTGGTATTTCACTGTGATTTTGATTTGTATTTCTCTAGTAACAAATGATGTTGAGCATCTTCTCATGTGCTTATCTGCATATCTTCTTTGAAGAAATGTCTATGTAGACCCTCTGACCGTTTTTTAATTGAGTTGTCTCTTTGTTGTTAAATTGTAAGAGTCTGTTATATGTTCTGGATACTAGTCCCTTATCAGATACGTGATTTGCAAAAAGCTTCTCCCCTTGTGTTGGTTGTCTACCTTCTTGTTGGTGCGTTTTGAAGGACAAAAGTTTTTAAATTTGACGAAGTCCAGGTTATCAACTTTTTCTTTTGTTGCTTGTGCTTTTGGTGTTACATCTAGGAAACCGTTGCCTGATCCCAGGTCAAATACAAAAATAGGAAAAGGCTGAGAGGGAGGACTTTCACTGTGTGCCTTTTTAAATATCCTTTTGATTTTTTTGAACCACATGACTCTTATTACCTATTTAAAGGTTTAAAATCTTGTTTTTAGAAGAAAAAGTATTTTCTAATGCTTATACTCAAACCAAAAAACATTCCGTGGATGCTTAAAAAATCAACAGGAGGGAGTAATGGTAGCTATACCACTCAAAGCGGTGACTTTTTTCTTTTAAAAAATATGCTTGACTATATTTAGGTAATGTTTCAGAATGTCTTTGTACAAATAGTCAGACTTAGGAAAATTACAGTCTTTGTATATGGTAACTGTGAGATGTCTGCTCTGACGCCATGAAGGTGTGAAAAGTTTTGCACCCAGTCAGACAGAGATCAGAACAAGAAAAAGGATGGAAGGACAGACAGGAGGTACGTGGTCTGCTGTACCTTATTTTAGATTTAAGAGGAATGAGATGCAAAAGAGGCACATTTACTGGGACGCAGTCCCTCCCGTTTTTGGATGAGTGCAGTTATGTCATGGTTGGTGTTACTAAACAGAAAAAGAAAGTTTAGGGTCTTCATTTATATTTTAATCCTCATACTAACAATTGTACTTACAGTAATAATTATATTTGATTAAAAAAATAAAACATAAATGTGTTTTGTTATCAATAGAAATGTCAAAATGGTGTCCTCTTCCTCTTTCTTCCTGACAGCATTACTGTGCCCTGTTTCTCACTTCCTTTCATGTTTGTTATATGTGGTGCATACATATACCACACCAACCACTGGCATCGTTTCGGGTTCTGGATCAATCAGTGATGTCTTCAGATAACTTCAACTTAGCACGTTATACGTGATCAGTTTTTAATTTGAATTCCTCTGGTTTAAAAAAATAGATCCCTTTCTTTTCTACCTTCAGTAAACAAGGGGTTCAGGACGCATTTAACTTTTAGCTCTCTCAATCCTTTGTGAAACAAGGAAGACTTGTGAATAAACGAATGCGTGAGTGCAGTAACGTCCTGATACCGTTAATTGGGTCACTTTATAGTAACAGCGAGGGCTTCGGGGATTCTTGTGGAATGTAGACTGTTTCTCTGAGCTGGGGATTTGTACGGTGATGACCGTTACAAAGGGAAGTTGACTCTGTCTCAGTCCCCGTTTGCGGTCTAGTCCATATTATCTTTTCTTCTCTTCGTATTGTCTTTTGTGGGCACATCTTATGTCCCCGGTAAAGTTGTGCTTCCTTGGGGGTTTGAAGTTCTTGGCTTGGAGACTCCTAGGGAACTGACTAAAGAAATTCCGGCACGATTTTGCTTTCTGTGGGCACAAAGCGCTTTCAGACTGGAAGGAGGTGGTGCTTGTTTCTTGCGTCCTCAGTGGCGTCCTGCTGGCCTCAAAGAGTTGGATCTCCTCGGCTTGCCAGGAGGTCTGGTGGCGGGCACAATGGAAGCTTTTGTCTTCTCACTGCTCCTTCACGTTTTCTTTCAAGGAATGCTCATCCACTTTGACAGAGCTGTTCCGAGAGGCCTGTTTCACCGGCGTCTTTGGAGGAGACGTGAACCCCGCCTTTGATCGCCTCTGCTCGGCTCCGCCTGCGCCCGGAGTCCCGGACTGGTCCCCGCTGCTGTGTGTGCAGTCCCCCCTTGCCAACTCGCCCTTCCTGGGCTACTTCCACCGCGGCTCTGCGTGAGTGCCCGGCCGGCCTGCGAGGCCTAGAGCGTGGGTCACGTTTTTCTCAGGACCTCTCGGAGGCGCCATGTGTAGTCAATTCTAGGTTCAATTCTAGATTTCGGTCAGTAAAAAGTTTGTTTTGTGTTAGGTATTCGAAAGAGTTGGGCCTCCCTGAAATTGAATCTATTGGTACTGCCAACGGTTACTAGCGATCACTGGGTTGGGGGACGTGTGGTGGGCTCCCGGGGACCTTGGCTTTCTGAGTGTAACCTTTCTGTATGGTTGGAATCTTACAACTTTATTATTATTACTGAAGTAAAATTCATGTAACATAAAATTAACCATTTACATGTGAAAGTGTACAGTTCAGTGGCGTTTGGCACAAATATTATTTTCGTAATTAAAAAAGTAAAGAAAGAAATTTAGAAGAGTTATCTTTAGTGGGAACAGCTGAAAGTGACAGTGAAAATCTTTATTGATTTACAGCTCCTCTAGACAACGCACTTCCGTTGATGTGTATTTGCATACGGATGTGAAAGACGTTTCAGACTTTGGTTACAAACAAGGAGATCCAATTATGACTGTAGATAAGGCATATTTTACTATTCCACAGGTAATAATTTCAATGTTAATATGCTAGAGCCATTTCTTATTTTTCCCATCCTATTGTTAATTTAATTCATATTGCTCTTAAAAATCTCTTCCTAAGTTACTTATTTTTCTCCTATGGGCTTTTCAGGCACTCAACTATTTATGGTCTCTGCGTTTTTTTTTTAATCGTCACTCTTGATCAGTCTTTGCCAAATCTCAGAGTGAACTTACTAAATAAAACCAAAAGACACTCTGTAAATTTCCATGGAAGTACTATCATTCCTCATTTCTGTTTGTTTAATAGCCAGTTTCTGGTAAGCTATAAGGGTATAATTTAATGTCATATTCCAGAATTCAGAAAATATTTTAAAACTAATTTTGTGTGAAATCTTTTTTTTTAAGTTCAAAATTATGAGGAAAAAATATCTGTGGGAAGAAAACGTGGGAGTCTAAACCATTTCTCTTTACTAGTCGTTTGACTCCACTTCCAACAGTTTTAGCAAAAGTTCTGTTATAGTAAAGGAGAGAAATAAAGTTGAATATAATCATGTTTCTGCAAAGTAAGTGGAGCAGGACAGGTGATTTTCTTTGTTTTCATTAAATAATACTGTTGTACTCCTCAACCAGTGGCTTCAGACTTTGATTAGCAAATTAACGACATTTTTCTAAAGTTGGTCAGGTATTCAATGAACTGGCCATTGTTGAAACGAACCCAGCGATAGGAGCAGGCGGCAGAAAGGACACTCTGACAAGACGCTGATCTGTATTTTCTGATTAGAACAGAGGTCATAAATCTGCTGGGGTGTTCCCTTGCCCTCAGGTGTCCCTGGCTGGGCAGTGTCTGCACAGTGCCCCGGTGGCATTCCTTCAGAATTTTGACGTTCGTTGCGCTACTCATTTGGAAGTATACCAAGAACGAGATGATATCGTCAATGTGAAGATAAAGAATGGTGCTATAGGAGGTACGTTACGTTGGTTTGAAAAAAGAACACAGACCTGAGTGGTTAGATAAACTATGATCTCATGAGAATGTAAATGACTTCTACTGGATCGGGTTAAAATCACATTTCAACTGCCAATTGAGGGAGGTGTTTTCTTTGGAAAAAATTCAGTTCCATAAGACAGCATATTGCATACTAGTTCATTTTGAAAAATTGAGGTAAAATTCGCAGAGCATAAAATTAACCATTTTAAAGTGTATAGTTCAGTGGCGTTTAGTGCATGCACAGTGTTGTGCAACCTCTATGTTGTGTCACCTCTGTCTAGGTCTAAAACATTTTCATCACCCCAGAAGGAAACCCCACACCCATTAAGCAGTGTTCCCCCTTCTCCTCTTGCCCTGACCCCTCGCAACCACTAATCTACTTTCCATCTCTATGGATTTGCCTATTCGGGATATGTCACATAAAAGGAACCATGCAGCATGTGGCCTTGTGTGTCTGGCCCTTTCACTCAGCATCATGTTTTTGAGATTCATCCATGTTGTAGCGTGCACCAGAACTTCATTCCTTCTTATGACTGGATAACATTCCATCGCATGCATGTACCGCATTTTGTAATCCATTCATCCTTTGATGGACGTTTGGGTTTCCAGCTTTTGGCTATTGTGATAGTGCTGCTGTGAACACTCGTGTACAAGTGTCTATGCAGCCGTATGTTTTCATTTCTCTTGGGTGTATACCTAGCAGTGGAATTGCTGAGTCATATGGTAATGTAACTTCTTGAGGAACCACCAGACCGTTTGCTAAAGTCACTGCACCATTTTGCATCCCCACAGCTGTGTACTGCATGTTCGTTCTTATGGGAATGATTCTGCACATTATTATCACTCACTTGATTCTCCTCGTCAGTTATAATTAGATGCCAAGAATAGTGGGATTTCCATTTGATGGTGTTTGGGGAGCGGGAGAGAGTTTTGTAGTTGGCACACAGGGCAGGCACAGTTACTGTATTTGCTTGATAAGCTTTCATTTGTGTAAGTAAATGTGATCATGTTAGGCCATGTAGTCCTGTGGAAGTTAATTTATGTATCTTTTTAGGCATCGTTACACCAAAAGTAATCTATGAGGAAGCAACTGACCTAGACAAATTCATCACCAGTACAGGTATTTTAATGTTACACTTGTATATCTTTTCTACAGAAATATGTATGTCATTTCTTACAAGTAATATATAGTCCTAGAGTAAGATACACTTTTATGAAGAATTTAAGGAGGTTCACAACAATTAGCAAGATCTCCCACCAGTATTTTTCTCTTCTTTTTGCTGAGGAAGATTCACCTTGAGCTAACATCTGTGCCAATCTTCCTCTTTTGTATGTGGGACACCACCACAGCATGGTTTTTTTTTTTTTTTTTTTTGAGGAAGATTAGCCCTCAGCTAACATCTGCTGCCAATCCTCCTCTTTTTGCTAAGGAAGACTGGCCCTGAGCTGTCAGTCTCATGGGACTGGCCCCCATTTTGTTTGTTTTTTGTTCTGTGTTGCCTTGCTTCAGAGTGATGTCTGTGACCTTGACCCAGTTCCTTCACAGTCCTGGGTTCTGTGGGTCCAGGGTCCCTTCTAACTCTCAGGGTCTGTGAACCTTTTCTTAAGTGTTTTTCAGATAGTTAAGAATTCTTTAGGACCCAGCATTTTCACTTCTTGCTTTCTTTTGTTTTTTGATAATTAAACTTTGCAGTTGTGATGCAGCCAAATAAGTTATGCAGAGTTTGCCTGACATTACCAGGACTTTTTTTTTTTTGAGGAAGATTAGCCCTGGGCTAACATCTGCCCCCAATCCTCCTCCTTTTTCGCTGAGGAAGACTGGCCCTGAGCTAATATCCCTGCCCATCTTCCTCTAGTTTATACCTGGGACGCCTGCCACAGCATGGCTTGACAAGTGGTGCGTACGTAGGTCCGTACCCGAGATCCAAACCGGCGAACCCATGGCCACTGAAACGAAACATGTGAACTTAACTGCTGTGCCACTGGGCCCACCCCAGGACTTTTGTTTTTAGTGAAAGATACTATTTGTGTTTCTTTTCAGTGTGTTGCAATTCTCAAATCTATTCATTACTTCATCAAATATTAGTAGAGTGCCCACAGTATAGTAGTGAACTTGACAGCAGGCCTCTGCTCTAAAGGAGCTGACTTTCTGTGGTCTTTCAGTTTAAGGAACGTTCTAACAAGCATGTGCTCCATATTGAGCTGTGGGCCAGGTGCCAGGGATACAGGAGAAAAAAGAGAGGAACAGACCTCACTCAATATTGTGATGGTGCAGAGGAGGCAGCTAGTGCTGACTCTGTGGGACCAATGACAGACTGGAGCCCGAAGAGGGCCTTTAATTTATGAAAGTATTCTTTTATTTGCAGAAACACTTTTAAGCAATGGATCAGCCCCCAGAAACGTGAATGTGGAAGAACATTATCTTTTCAGATGGAATAATAACACCATCACTGAAATAAATGTCAAAATTCTTAGGGCAGAAATTAATGCCCACCACAAAGGTAACTTTGTTGAGGGCGATGAGAATGCTTTCGGTTTAAAGTATTTTTTTCTTTCTTCAAAATTCTCACAGGTGTAACACATACTACTAGGTCAGACTTATTTCTTGTTTGATTTGTGATTTAATAAAAAAGACTATATGTTTTTTGGTATGTCAAAATGCATTTATAAGGTAAAGAAAATAACACTGTAGGAGATAGTTTTTTTTCCTAGTGAAATGGTTCACATTATCTTTTTATTTTGTTTTATTTCTAGGAATCATATCACAGAGATTTACGGTAAAATTTTTAAGCTATAACAGTGGTAATGAAAAGGAATCATCTGGTAATCCAGGTAAGATAGTATATGTTGTGGGGGCCGGCCCCGTGGCCGAGTGGTTAAGTTCGTGCGCTCTGCTTCGGCAGCCCAGGGTTTCACTGGTTCAGATCCTGGGCGTGGACATGGCACTGCTCGTCAGGCCATGCTGAGGTGGCGTGCCACATGCCACAACTAGAAGGACCAACAACTGAAAATACACAACTGTGTACTGGGGGGCTTTGGGAGAAAAAGAAAAAATAAAATCTTTAAAAAAAAAAGTATATGTCGATCACTGATCTTACAAATGTATTTTAGTTCAACACTCCTATACTATAATGAGGATTATAAGTAACTCTCTCCAATTTTAGTTTGTGACTCTGACGTTTCTCTTTATTTCTCTTCTGTGACACTGTATTCTTTTTCTGATAACAACTTGATTTTTTTACATAAAGTGTCATAGATAGCAACAAGTTGCTGTAAATGCAAAATGTTCTTTCTCTTTAGCTACTGGTCTTTTGGAAAATAGATAATGCATTTAAAGCCTTGGTAAAATTAACTTTTAAGATCTAATAAGCTGCAGTTGATGAGTTCCTAAGCTGGGATCTGTGGAGCGACTTCACGGGGACAGTGAATTCCCTGTCATGTTGTGCGTTTGGTGTTTTTGTGCAAATACGTCACCACCTGATTGGGTCTGTGTTTGTCTCTTTCTTCACTGCTGCCTCCTCAGGGCCTGAGATAGTATGTAGAAGTGTGCTGTCCAGTCTGCTGGCGGCCCGCCACGCGCAGCTGCTGGCCAGTGTCATATGTTGAAACGATAATATTTTGGATATATTGGGTTGAAAAAAATATATTATTCAAATTAATTTTATCTATTTTTCTCTTTTAATGGGGCTACTAGGAAAACATTTTAATTTCTAAAAGATTCTAAAAATATGTTATAATACTTAAATCACATATGTGGTTTGCATTATATCTCTATTGGGCAGCACTGGCTTAGACCATAGCAGGTGTTCAGTAAATATTTGTTGGATAAATTATCATTGTTTTGTGAAAAAAATGTTCCCTTCTTTTTACTATTTTTAATCAGGCAGACATACGCATGACGGGACAACTTTTTTTACTTTTAACTAACTTTTTATTTTGCATGATCTTCAATATTTATATATACTAATTTAATAATACATGATCCATTATCTATATATAGTTTTTTTCTTTTAAATTGGATTTTAGTGTATTTATTAATGTGGAGTTTGGAGGTTTATTGTTGGCTTTAAAAGCAGGCTCCTGGAATTTAAAGATTTTCATTTCACTGTCTTAATTTCACAGGATTCTGAGAAACACCATCAGAATATATGAAAAATGTTGAAGCTCTTGTCAAAAAAGAGTAAACTGATTAAGAGCCAGAACTGATCAGTCAGTGAAACAGCTTGTGTACACACAGCCACTCTCTCTAGCACTTTCCGAGGCAGGACAGGGTTTTAGGCCCTCTCCTCAAGGCATTAACTCTCTTAGTTGGAAAGACCACCAAGTCACAGGAAACAAGAGTGAGCAATCCAAGGTACTTAATAAATGAGTGCTAGACTTATGGACAGGTCCTCTGGAACGTCAGAGGAGTAGAATGTTGACCATTCACCCAAACTCTGTCATTAACTAAAGAACTGGGTTGAGTGTCTAGTCCGTGCCAGGTTCTGGTCTCAGTGCTGGAGGAAAAGCAATGAGCAAGACCGAATTCTGCCTTTGGTGAGTTTCCGTTCAGGGCTGCCTGGAGGAGCTCATGCCTTGGAGAGCAGGTAGTCCGTGCTGGGAGCAGGACTGGGTAACCTGGGGGAGTCCAAGGAAGCAGAAGTGAGCATGCAGTGCGCATGGGCAGGGGTCCGGCCAGCGGCGGGGGCGAGGCTGCTGGTTCAGAATGGTTGGAAACAGAAATACCAGGCTTGAAGCTTGGTTGCATCTTGGTTTGTAAAAACAGCTCTAAAACACATTTGTGGGGACTTAGAGGAAATATGAGTATGAGCTGGGTATGATGTGATTATAAGGAATTATTATTAATTTTCTTAGGAGAAATATTGGTATCATGGCTACGTAGGGGAATAGTCTTAATTTTGGGAGATGTATGATGGAGCTCCTAGAGGTGAAATGTTGTGATGTCTACAACTCATTTTCAAATGGTCCTGCAAAAAAATTATGCATATGCTTATACAATATAGATAAGACAAATATGGCTAAATATTAGCAGTTGTTGAGTTTAGGTGGTGGCTGTACTGGTGCTCATGGTATTACTCTCAACTTGTCTGACTATGTGAACATTTTCGTAATGAAAAGGTGGAAACAGTAAGTTGGATAATAGGAGACAGATGGGAACAGGACCTAAACCAGACCTTGGGCTTGAATTGATCTACTAGAGAACGGTCCTATTGAAAGGTCACTTTGGTTAGGTCTCCTTTACAAGCTTCTGTGGTAAGTGGTATTCATCCTTCAGCGAGGATTCATTCACCAGCCTGCTCAGCGGCTTATTGTCCTCCAGTGTGAGATATCCGAGAGTGATTCCTGCCTGCTTTTGACTTTTCAGATTTTATTTTTAAAATTTATTTAAAAAATCACACGAATATCTTTGTTAAAAAACAAAACAAAACACAGGTGATCTCTTTCTCTACAGAGTATTTTGAAAAAGCTCTGCCTGTGTATTTTCTGTCATTGTGTATTTCTCTTTTGTATTATTTGATGAGATAGCACTTGCTATGCCAGAACAACTTGAGAAGGAAAGATGCTAATTCTCCTTTGTTGTGTTGTCTAGGTTACCAACTTAGCAAGCCCATTCGAGCTCTGAATACCAACAGGATGAATAATGTTACGACTTTACACCTTTGGCAATCAGGTAATCTGGTTTGGTACTATGATTAGCTCTCTGGTAAACTAGAATTGGAAGTACTACCATATTTTGAATCTAATTAAGTAATCAATTACTTTAAGCTCAGTTGGTTTATTTAGCCGAAGGGTGGTTGTTTTTCATGCTTCTACAGCTTTTTGTTTTTTTTTGGTAAAAAATGTTAACATTGCATCTGAAGTGCTGGTTGTTAGTAAGAGAGATTTCAATATGGGAGTGGCTTGAGTGTCCGTTGTTAGCGTTCTCCATAGCCCAAGATGGTGCTCATTGGAGACATGAGACCAGCTGTCTTCCCAACTGTGGAAAATCTTTGCCTCTGTGGTAATTATCCACATCTGCAAGAAGCATTAAATTTCGCATTCAGAATAAACCGTTGATCCCTGTCCAGGTATTCTGACGCAGAAAGGCACCTTCGTTCGGCTTTGAATGGATTAGAGTAACAATGACCTCAGTTCTCGAAAACTGGAAACTTTATTTCTACTTATTATTTTCTCTTTGATTTTCAAGAAAAGCTTTGAAATAAGTCTTTGCTTTTATTTTGCAAAAATAGTAAGAGGATAATCTTTTTATTTTGTAGCTGGAAGGGGTTTGTGTACATCGGCAACGTTCAAACCCATTTTATTTGGAGAAAATGCATTATCTGGGTGCCTTTTAGAAGTTGGGCTTCATGAAAACTGTACTCAGCTCAGGTGAGTGTTTCATCGATGAGTTCATCTGCCTTTTGAGTGGTTTGCTTAAAACTCATTCACCACGTGAATGCTAAAGGCAACGTGAATGTGAAAAATTAGAGTCTGAATAAAAACTTGTGTGAAAGTGATAGTGAATAATGCATAACTACAACTTCCAATACAATTTAGAGTTGATTCAAACATCAATATAAGGGAAATAGACCTCTTTCTTGGGAGAAAAGCCTTTTCATCCATATTTATGCGATTTCTCTGCTGAAGTTTGTTCAGATCATTGGCACCTAATGCTCCAGAAGCTATAAGAAGGGCTGGAGCCGGGTGTCATTGGTGTGATTGACATGTGAAGAACACTGAAGCCCTGTTACATGTGTATAAAGAATTTTCCTCTTAATGGTCTGGGTGCCGTTTGAAAAGTGTGTTTATGGATATGCATATATATATATATTTTAATTGAGGTGAAATTCACATAACGTAATCATGTTAAAGTGAACAGTTCAGGGGTGTTTAGTATATTCATAATGTTGTGCAGTGTTCCTTTTTCATCTCTGCAAAAGGAAACCGTACCCATTAAGCAGTCCTCATTCCTCCCTCCCCCTAATTTTTAATTTTTTTGAGGAACCACCATATTGTTTTCCACAGTGACTGCACCATTTTACATTCCTAACAGCAATGTTAAAGGGTTCCATTTTCTCCACATCCTTGACAACACTTGTTATTCTCCATTTTTTTTTTTTAAGATTTTATTTTTTCCCTTTTCTCCCCAAAGCCCCCCAGTACATAGTTGTATATTCTTCGTTGTGGGTCCTTCTAGTTGTGGTATGTGGGACGCTGCCTCAGCGTGGTTTGATGAGCAGTGTCATGTCCGCGCCCAGGATTCGAAACAACGAAACACTGGGCTGCCTGCAGCGGAGTGCACGAACTTAACTGCTTGGCCACAGGGCCAGCCCCTTATTCTCCATTTTTTGATAAAAGCCATTCCAGTAGATGTGAAGTAGTATCTCATTGTGGTTTTGATCACGTGTGTTCTTGCACCCATTTCATCTGTAACATATCCCAAGCGGTGTAGTTCTTTGAGGAGCAGAGGAAAAGATGGGAGAGACATTTAGAAGGGAAGAAAAACTGTGGGTATTAGTTACCCGCAGTGGCTCCTGACTGCAGGGTACAAGGCCTGAGTCCACAGTCAGAGTGTCTCCCCTGCACTTCCTAAGATTTGTACCCTCTGATGACATTACTGGGAAGGAGAGATACTAAGTTCCAATTCTTAATCTTCACTTAATTTTATGGCTGAAGATTCTAAACATAGAAGGCTAAATATTTAGGCTCCTTTCACTGTTGGATCTCTCTGGCCCATGAATTTATCCTGGTAACTTGACATGGGATCTACCCACCTCCCAAGTTTTGTGACACTCAGTGGAGCCTGTGAACATAAGTTGCTACCACTTTAAGTCCAGAGTGGAAGATTGCTTCTCTGCGTCTTCCCCTGGCTGCTGAGGTCCATCCTGGGGAGGCCAGCAAAGAAAAGTACGTCTCCCAGCCAGTTTTTAATGCCTGTTCCTCTGGCAGTTTTTTATTTAAGCACCAGCAAGCACAACTTGGACACTTCCTGAAAAGAACTTTAGGACAAGACCTGCTGGCTGTGCATTGAGAAATGCCTTACTCTCTTGCAGAGAGAATGCTGTTGAACTGCTTGGTTCATTAATACAAGCAACTCATGTTGCAACGAGAGGCAACTCGGATTACAGGGATCTTGGTGATGGCTGGCTCGAAATAATCCGTAAGTCAAAGATGCATATGTGTGAAATGTGTAATTTGGTTGCTATGACTACATAGTGCCAGCTGTGGCGTTAGTGTCCTACCCGACAGGCCGTCTTTCTTTGTCGTGGCCCAACTGACGTTTGTTCAGAGATTAACTCTCCAGACAGGAGGCTCTTCACATCTTTTCATGATGCCTTTTTTGTTTTTGTTTTTTTTTAAAGGTATGCTTTTTTTGGTGAGTAAGATTGGCCCTGAGCTAACATCTGTTGCCAATCTTCCTCTTTTTTTTTGCCCTCCCCAAAGCCCCAGTACATAGTTGTATATCCTAGTTGTAAGTTACTCTAGCTCCTCTATGTGGGATGCTGCCACAGCATGTATTGATGAGTGGTGCTAGGTCCACACCCAGGATCTGAACCGGGGAACCCTTGGCCACTGAAGTGGAACATGCAAACTTAACCACTCCACCACAAGGCCAGCCCCCCTTTTTTGTTTTTTAAGAGGAAATACACATGAAGTTCAAATTGCCTTATTGTTTTACGAGCTAATCAGTCTTTGTAAAAGGAAGTCCAAGTGAGGTTTGAAGATTTTCAGTGCATTTCAGTTTGCATTGCTATTTTTGATTGCCAGGAATATGGGCGGTTGACAACTGACTTTGTAATTTATAAAAGCAATTTTGTTAACTTAAAAGAAAGTAAAGTGATAGAAAACATTATGCTAAATGAGAGAAGCCAGACATGAACAACCACGTATTGTATGATTCTTTTCTTTGCAATAGCCCAAACAGGCAAATCCACAGGCAGACAGCAGATGAGTGGTTGCTGAGGCTGGGCGGCTGGAAGGAAATGGGGGGTGACCGCTAGTGAGTACAGGTTTTCTTTTTGGGGCAATGAAAATGTTCTAAAATTGAATCTGGTGATGGTTGTACAACTCTGTGAATATACTAAAAACCATTGCATTGTACACTTAAATGGGTGAATTGTATGGAATGCGAACTGTATCTCGACAAAGCTGTTAAAAAAAGAAAGGAACTAAGGTACAGCAGATCTAACAATAGCAGGGATCGCGGAGGCCAGATAAAAAGACCTGACAGGCAGTGCCTTTGGTCAGAGGCATTTGCAGAGCTGGGTTAGCAGGGGGTCGTGTGGGAGGAGCAGGAGACACACCATATGTGGGGTGTGGAATAGAGGTGAGCTGGAGTTAGCTTGCCACAACAGGCCCCATTTCACCTCCTAATCAAAAATTTCATTTTGGTCATTGAGCTCCAGCTCGCTCCGGTTGTCAGTGGAGAAGCCTAAGGTCACAGTGAGTTATGGCAGAGCTAGAAGGAAAACCTGGGGTTCCAGCCTCTTTCCTCTCTTTCCTCTCTTCTCTGGGAAGTCAGATAACATCTTTCCAATTTCTTGGGGAGTCTTGAGTGTGTAAATGTATTGAATAGAAGGAAAGCTGCTTCTGTTGCTCTAACTAGTGGAATTACCTTTTGGGGCCAGAGAGGGCTGACTGTAGTTATCTGTCCTCCTAAGTCCCCTCCTGTCCCTGCAGATGCTGCTGTGCCCTCACCTCTGCCTGGCTGGTAGGATCCTGCCCTCACCCTCCCATGCCCTCTGAGATCTTTCAGCTCAGCCGCTGGAATTCAAAGGACCATCCAGACACATGCCTGCACTCTCCCCACCCTTGTGGTCGGGATCACATAATATGTCTGTGGACCACTCTCTGCCTTGGGCAGGGGGTCCTGGTGGCCACGGGGCTCTCAGTCTGCAATTTGCCGATTCAGCCCCTGCTCAAGTCACTAGGCCCAGAGTGAGATCCTCATTTGGAAAGAGAACCCAGAGGTCGGGGCTTGTCAACCCTGGGCTTTGCCATCTAGGCCTGCTAGATGGGCTGTGGGATGCCTGAGGGATGGAGGGAAGGAATTAGTAAGCACCTGAGAAGTAAGAAGTATGGGAAATTTCAAGATAGAACTGAACTTGGTTCGGTGAGGAATCAGGTGGTGGCGTTTTGTTGCCTTCACAGTGGCGGCAGTTAGCTTCTATTGATCACAGTCAACGCTGATCCTGGTTAATAAACACAAGAGGGGTGATGCTGGACAGATGCATCAAGGAGGAGGAAATTGGACATCATAAAGAAAAGGAGTCTCACTGACCTTCATGAGCCCTGAAGAGACAAAGAAACCCCCTCCAGAGCCACCGCAGAACCCGCCGTCCACCTCCTGTAACTGGCCTTGCTGTTTCTTCCCCTAAGTGCCAGTTTTCAAGATGAATGAAAATTAATTTCTTATTCAGTTTTATTCTCTTCCATTTGCATTACTGCTATGGCGCCACATCAGGAAATTGCCTTTTAACTATTTAATCCATAGTAACTGAAGTTGGGAGTACGGATTTAAATGTCTTAGACAGCTTTTACCAGAACAGGGACTGCATGGCATATGTCTAATGGCATTTCACTGCAATCGTGTGGTTTTTCTGTTAAAACTCTGGGTGGATTTCAGTGAGGAGCTTGGGAACTGAATCATGATTTCTGGTTTTATTACGTGAGTCAGGGATTTTAAAGTTCCGACTGACATTTAAAATACAAGGAAACCTTTTGAACACAAGGAGGTGACAGCACGGTTATGGAGTGACGAGGAAGGAGAGCCTGTTGGGGACGAAACTCGTTAATGTGATTCCTATCGAATAATATTTCCCTTTCGTTTTGCATCATGGCATTGTAGGAAAACTGTTACTAAGTTATTCATCCCAAAATGCACAACTTAACATTTCTCTAGGTGCAGACACCCCTGATACAGGTGCAGACCCATCTGTTAGCAGCATGAATGGCTTCTGCCCGGATATTCCTGCTCAGCTGAGTATCCGCATCCTCATCTCGGATGCTGGTGCAGTGGAAGGGATTACTCAGCAGGAGATACTTGGCGTGGAGACAAGGTATGATCACGTCTTGCATTAGTGTAGTTTAGAGAAAGGCCGTAAAGTTGAGGGCGCTTCAAAGAATAGGAACACGCTAATTTAGAAGTTGATTGTTTGTTTATAAATTGCAATGATTAGCAATACGATTATATGTATAAATGGAATATATATAAACTATGTTTATAATGGAAGCTTGTTCTCACTCACAAGTATTTATAAAACTATGTGTAAGGGATTGTGCAAGGTATTTTAGGGGCTACAAAGATGCATAGGGTCTGCTTAGTGCTAAGCATATTTTAAAATCCATGAATACACTTGGCATACTGATCAGGGAATATAAATCCCAGTGTATATTGTTGCTGTGTCAGTTACCTGATGTTCTTAACAGGCTGTAAGTGAATGGTGGATATGTTGCCTGCATCATCGTTTCCTTCCAGGTTCTCCTCAGTGAGCTGGCAGTTCCAGTGCGGGCTTACTTGTGAGGAGAAGCCCGACCTTGCCCCTCTCAGTGCCTCCGTCCAGTTTATTAAGATCCCGGCACAGTTACCCCGTCCACTGACAAGGTAATCCCGTTGCTGACCTTGCTGGCAGTGTGAGAAGGCAGAAAAATACATATTCGAAAATAAGAAGTTTATTTCTTTAATCAAGTTTTAATGCATCTCACCCAGAGCATGCTTTGTTGTAGCTATTATAATCTTTTCAAATGTTTTGTAGATTCCAGATCAATTTTACAGAGTATGACTGTAACAGAAATGAGGTGTGTTGGCCGCAGCTTCTATATCCGGTGACCCAGTACTATCAAGGTAGAGTAAAGCAGATTTCTGGAGTGGTTATCAGTACATTATGTCAGTTAAAAATTTTTTTTAAATGCGCCAGTGTCACAGAAAACTTAAAACATATAGAAAGGTTTAAAAAGAAAAATTTACCGATAATGTTCCCAGTTAGAAATGATCACGATTAATGTTTTGGCTTATTTCTTCCTAAATAATTACCAAAAAAGTTAAGCATGGTGCTTAATTTGATTCATTGTGTTGCAGGGGAGCCTTGCTCTCAGTGTGTTGCCAAGGGCTTACTGTTGGTTTCCTTCTTCATATTGGCTGTGTTCCTCAGTGACCCCTGGACCAGAATGTGCAAAGCTTGGAGTTAACTATCACCTGACTTCTTACAGATCATGGACTTTCACTTCAGTGATTTGTTGTACTCCTCTGTGCCTCTCTGTAAAATTTTAATAAATGAAATGTTTTATTTTTGTAGAACATTTTTATCAGGTGCTTTGCAGATTTAATTCACGTATGTAGCTATCCAGCGTGCAAAGCAATGCGGCATGGGCGTTCTCATCGCCAGACCAGCCTGAACAAGATGCATGAGAGGCTCAGCTGTGCAAATAAATGTTATTGGAAGCTTTAGTTTACCGCAGGTTACTGACGTCATAGGAGTTTTGGTCTAGATATGTTATTTGTACCTTAGAGAGTCAATCTTCAATTTTTTATGTATTTCTGTTGAATTGATTAATTTCCACTATTCCAAAGAAAAGATTAAAAATCCACAAAGCCTTAAAAAATGTATGTAGTACAAAAGCACAAAGTAAATTGGTGAGGAAAGATGTGGAAAGTCAAACGGCACCAGGAGTGAATGTAAGCCCGTGAAAATATGTGCCAAGGATCTTGCATTTAGCAAAGGCAGACCCCTAATTTAGTCTTCAGTTTACAAAAAACGAAATGTGATTAGCTACGGGAATCATAGGGTCCATGGATTAAAAAGAAGCTGGTTTTCAACGAAAGACAGTTTTTCCTAGTTGAGTCTTGAGAGAAATTCCTCTTGTGGCCCCTTACGAGGGGTCAGCATGATGCATGGGGGATTGGGAGGGGAAATGGCTGTCGTCAGCCACAGCCCTACCTTGGCCACAGCAAAGCTCCTGTGAGGTTTTTTTTTGTGGGCCAGATACATTTACTCACTGTTTCAGATGGACTTTGTGCACTCTCGATAAACCTAAGTGTGAAAAGTGCTTCTCTTTCCTTTCTCACTTTTTGACTGGCTTCCTAGTGCCTCCTGATTTCCCAGCAGTACGTAAAGTGTGTCGTTGCATCTTCGCTCACAGCTCCTGCCCGAGGGAATCTCAAATCTTCCTTCCAGTCTACATCTATAAATCGAGTTCTATTTTTTCCTAATTCATATTAAACATGTAACTAATGACAGAAAAAATTTCCCCTTGGGGCTGGCCCCGTGACCGAGTGGTTAAGTTCGTGTGCTCCACTTCGAGGGCCCAGGGTTTTCAGGTTCGAATCCTGGGCGCCGATATGGCACTGCTCATCAGGCCACACTGAGGCGGCGTCCCACATGCCACAACTGGAAGGACCCACAACTAAAAATATACAACTATGTGCCCGGGGAGGGTGGTGTCTGGGGAGAAAAAGGAAAAATAAAATATTAAAAAGAAAATTTCCTCTCAAGTACCATTATCGTATTACTTTGGGGAAACACTGGATTCCTCGCCTGCTGCTCTCTTTCTTTGGTTTGGTTCTCTGTGGGCTGAAGTGATCTCACCCTATAGGAGTCAAAGATTGTCTTTTGTCAAAGAAAAGGAAATACCCACTGCCTAATTAATTGCACTGATTCAGAAAGCCTTTCTGTGGCAGTTTAACTAGCTCTGGAAAATTAATTTAAAATTTTGGACTGACAAGTAATTAAGCCTGATTTTGTGGGCTTTGTTAGGATGCTTTTTGTACTTAAAGGGAAAAACTCACTTTGGTAGTAGAATGGGATCTAGGGGGCATACTATATATGGGTTTAACTTTTCCAAGTTTATACATTCACGTATGCATTTGAAAAATATTTATTGAGTGGCTACTGTGTGCTGTGCCTTCGAGATACCAAGACAATGTCCCTTGTCAGGTGGAGCTTCCATTCTTCTGGGGGAAAACTGGCAATAAACACACAGAGGAGATAATTTCAGATAGTGGTAGGTGCCATGAAGAAAATAAAACAGGAACGTGATGGGGTGGGGTGGGAGGGCTACTTTTTCGAGGAGTCATGGACAGCGTCTCAGAGGAGGGGACATCTGAGCCAGGACCTGAAGGAGCCGGCCTTGAGAAGGTCTGGGAGCAGGGTGTCCTAGGAAGACGGAGGGCTCAGCAAGTTCAAGGGCCTCCACCTGGCAAGAGAAAGAAGGCAGGTCCCGCTGGAGCCAAGGGAGCCCAGAGCAGGTCGGAGACGAGGGCGTGGGGAAGGTGGAGGCTCGATCCCGTGGGGCCTTGCTGGCCGTGGTAAGAAGTCTGGATTTTATTCTGCATGCAGTGGGGGAAGCCAGAGGACTTTAAGTAGGCTCACATCGGATTTTCGTCCACTGTCGGAGTCACTGTGGCTGCCGTGTGGGGGATCGCAGCAGGCACGAGCCGTGGGCCGGACTGCAGTCCCGGACATCCGACCCTGCTCTCTGGTCTGCACGGGGACAGGACCCGAGAGGGACGCCAGCCGCAAACACCACATAGGGCATCGTTCCGCTGATCTGAATGTCCTGAAAAGGCATCTGTGGAGACAGAGTTGTTTAGTGGTTGCCCTGGGCTGACGATGGAGAGGGGATTGATGCAGCTGAGCAGGAGGAATCCTTTAGGGATTGATGGAAAGGTTCTAAAATTGATCGTGATGATGGCTGCACAGCAACCCTGTAACTTTACTAAAATCACAGAACTGTACGCTCTCATCGGGTGAGCCTTATGGCACGTCATCTCAACGAAGCTCATTTTAGCGAGCTCTCAGCCGCAGAGCGAGGGGCTGTCCTCCGTCGGGGCCGGCTGGGCGCCGGGAGCCTCGGCGGTCCCTCGCCGGGTTTGCGCCTGTTGGCCCGGCTGGCGGCGGCCGCAACTCCGGGCGCCCATTGGTCGGCCGGCGGGGGGCGGGCGCGCGGGGGCGGAACCGGAACCGGCGGCCGCGGGGGGCGGGGCCTGGCGGGCGGCCGCGGTGGCGGCGGCTGGAGCGGCGGCCGCGGTGGCAGGACGCGGGGGGCCGTGCCGTCGGGAGCCCCATGGTGCGGGGCCGCGGCCAGGCCGCAGCAGGATCCCGAGGCCCGGGCCGCCCCGGCTGACCGTGCGGGCCCGCGCGCGCGGAGCCGCCGCCGCCTTCGGGCCCCGCCGGGGCGCGGGCCGGCCGGCATGGGGTCCCTGTTCCGGAGCGAGACCATGTGCCTGGCGCAGCTCTTCCTGCAGTCGGGCACGGCCTACGAGTGCCTCAGCGCCCTGGGCGAGAAGGGCCTGGTCCAGTTCCGAGACGTGAGTGTCGCCGGAGACGCGCCGCGGCCGCCCGCCCTCGCTGGGCCTCCTCCGCGGGCGCCGGCGCGGGGCAGCCGTGTCCCCCCGTCCCAGACGGGGCAGCGGGGCCCAGCCCACCGGCCATGCCTCCGCCGAGCGGGGCCCGAGCCCGGGGTCGCCGGGCGCCTGGTTAGGAGCGCCCCGGGTGGTCCCCATCAACTTCGGGGAGCGCCCTGGGTGCCCGCGCTGCGCGAGCGGGGAGCGAATCCGAGAAGGCCTCTTGCAGTCCTTCGGGATCCTCCGGGGGTGCGGGGACAGATATCAAGCTAATAAATCCGTAAACGGGATAATGGGTGCTAGAAAGAACGCAAAACGGGGTGGCGTGATGGTGGCTCGGGTGGGGTGGTCAAGGGAGGCCTCTCTGAGGAGGTGACGTTTGGGCCGAGACCTGAATGGGAAGGAGCCGGCCATGGGGAGATCTGGGGGAACAGGGTCCCAGGCGGAGGGGACGGGAGAGCCCAGAGCTGGCCTGGGAAGCAGCTTGGTTAAGCTCCTGGAGGGGAGGGAGGGGTTTGGTCGGTTTTCTTCACCGATGTGTGATGATGTCCGTGCCACTGCCTGGTGAGGCGTGCAGCACAGCAGTGTTTGTTAGAATGGGAGCCGTCTCCGGAGCGGGTCATAACAAACACTTGTTTATGTATCTGTTTACTCGTTTATTGTTTGTCTCCACCGAGGACTGTCACCTCCAAGGATAAAGGCCTTGCCTGACTTGCTCCCTCCGGATTCCCCAAGACTTAGCCCGGTCCTTGTGTGGATGGGCGTTTGTTGAACACTCCGGCAAGCTTTCAGTGAGTGCTTGCTCTGTTCTCGACCCTGGTTTGAGTCCTGGAGACTCAGTGGTGAGCGAGGCGGACAAAGTCCCTGTGTTCTTGTTGCTCACAGTCTGGGAGGAGACAGACAGATTGATTATGAACTGTGATAAGTGCTAGGAGGAAGAAGAACCCCTGTGGACCGTGGGTTATTAAGCAGGACCTAATACTTACTGATTGAACTGGGAGTCGCTTCAGGTGAACATCTTATTTCCTGGGCCACAACTTTCATTTCTTGGTTGTTTCCCTTCATCTTTCGGAGGGGGTCCTTAATTTCCAAAGAGAACATGCCTACCCCAAGATCTGATATCAGTGATCCTTGGGTTGGCCCCCTAAGGCAATGTCAAGGTCAGGGAGAAACTCCTGCGTAACAGGCAAGGCTTCAGGGCACTCCCGGCTCTCTTCCTGGTTCCTGGAGCCACTTGGGCTTCAGGACACGGTACCCACTCATCTGGCAAGTGCTGTGCTGAGCTGTGAGGAGCACCCGAAAGATTCAGGAAACAGTTGTGAGGGAAGCGGGCTCCCTTCTTTATTACAAGTAGATTTGTTGCATCCTGTTAGTACTCAAGCCAAGAGACTTATCAAGCTTAAATCTTAGAGATTTGAACAAATGCCCTAATCGCCACAGGGATTCCACTTTCACAGTACATTACATTAGGGAGTGGAGGAGACTTGAGATCCTTTTTAACTGGAAATCAGTGAAAGGAAAAGAAAGCGCTTCATCTTTTTCCAGAAGGAAAATAAAGCTAAAATGGTAAAATGAGCTCTTTCTCGTGCGGTGCTAGTTTTTCAGAGCTCAGGTGAGTGTGTGTGTGTGTGTGTGTGTGTTGACTGTCGAGCAGCGTGGTGCTAGTGCAGAAAGCTCTGTCACATCTGACACTTTCTCTGGAGTTCCTTACTGACTTCGGGTTCAGCGGATGGGATCACTGACGTCAGCCTTTCCTGGCTTGCCCAGGCTGGATGGTTTCTCCCTTTTCTTTTAGTAATCCTTCTAAGGGAAGGGAGGCAGGTCAAGGATTTCCGTCGTGACAGCCAATGAGAAGACTTGCAAAAAAGAAAGGTTATTCAAATAACCAGCAGGACTCAGTGACGGGGAAGTTCATGTCACTTATGTAACAGTCTGCAGTCTAAGGAGAGTTTTCTCCTTT